ATCAGACTTTTGGGATTCTCGCGGGGAGCACTGCAAGCAACTGAGAGGTTTGTCAATCAATGTGCGAAGGCGTGACTACAGTGCGAAGCCTCGACATGGCCGCGCTTTGCCGCACAGAGTAGCGGTGTTTCGCCGGTGCCGCTGTGACTGTCAGCAGTCTTGGCACTGCCTCGGAGACCACAGCAGTGTCCAGATCCCAGCTTCGAAATCGAGAAATGGGACGGCTCAGCGACTGGCTTTTGAGCAACAGGCGGAGCACCTTGTAGCGACCGGCGAACCGTCACGACACTGCGCTTCAACTGCCAGGGCTGCCATGGCACTCCGACATGACCACCGTGAGCAGCCATGAGCACAGGAGTCCTTCGCTTCGCTCGATCCACAGCTTCAGCGTTAGAAGACCTAAATTCTTTACGTGGGCCAAAGTCCAGCCCAATCGATCCGGAGTATCCACAGACCTCGGACGTGCATTACAGCAGAGATCACAAGTCGCAAGCCGGGCTTGCACACCGTCTGAGCTCTCGAACTGAGATCTTCCGTCGACGAGCAGAAGTTGGACTGTCTCGGTGTCACCTTGCAGGCATTCATTATGCAAATGCATTGCAGCGTGGGGCTGGGCACAGCGGAACTCGGGGGATATCATGTTGTGAAGCGATCGGTATAACCTGTGGATTGTGCCTTTGCCCGCTGCCAAGTTGAGAGGCGTCTCCCCGTCATTGTTCGAAATGTCCACTGCCTGATCGACATTCAGCATGCAATACCAGTCATACAGGATTGGTTTTGGCTTGCCTGCACGGTTACACCGATTACAGAAAGGCTCGTGTCCAATGTCCGCCGGCGAGGATTCGGATTTTATCGGATGAATCGAGAGTAAAGCCAGCTTGGTTCCCATCACGCCCTGCGAACCCTGCACCGAATCTTTGCAAGTTCATCATTGACTTGCAAAATTGCGGAAGTAGATTTACGCCGCTCTTTATGCTTGCTGGGTGCCGCGGAGTGCCCAAGCAGCAACTTCACGATGTCAGCACCTTTGCGGCGTATCTTACTGCTTGCATCGGCCATACTTGTGCAATTTCTGCGGCACTTCGACTGTTCCTAACTCTTCCGCTGCACAGCTCCAAATGCTGCCAAAGCACGGCCCTTCTGTACTGCGGACAGAAGAGGCGTTTCGCCGTTCGAGTTCGCCTTCTGCGGGGCTTGCCTGAGCTGGCTCACAGCAACCAGAGCAGCGATTGATTAGAGCACCTTGGCATGGCCTGTCACAAAGCCAACATGATGCAAATAAATACTATGACGTTACTATGACGATGGTGGCATGACAGACTGCCGCAGTATTACATACAGCTACGAATGCCTTAACCCGGTAGGTAAGTGCAAGGTCTGACGGGAAGGGTGGGAAGGATGTGACGGCTCATCATGCTCTCGGCCGTGCAACTTGAAATACAGGTCAAGAGTGTATGTCGGCGCATTGACATTCGGAATGCTTGTGCGTCTGCACCTTCGCCGCTACATGAGCTCCCCAAAGCAGGATGAGATCAAGGATTCCTGTGTACTGTGGTAAATAAGGACTATCTGGGGATACGAAAGTTTAAATGGAGCACAAGTGTCCGGCATCTATGCAAATTATGACTTCTTAACCCAACAGCCTGGCAAGCTCACTCGAAATCGAACCACGGAGATGTGCGACTGTCGAGCCAGGAGCGGCCGACGGCTGCCAAGGCGAGAATCCATGCCTACGTTCATAATGCAACTTTGCGGCAACTTGGCAGTCGTCAGGAGATACTCCACGACGTCTGTTCTCCCTTCCTGGCACATGCTCTAGGACCGTACTTGAGGTACGAAGCTGCAGCAGTCCAGGTTCTGCTGCCTTCGCAGCCAGCAACAAGGGCGTGTTGCCTGCCATGGGCCATGGCTTCCGAGGATTGGCTCTGGCAGTGTTGGCACTCACTTCAACACTGCACCGAGCTGTAGCCAACTGGAGGATCTTTGCAGCTGTCGAACGTCCACACTGAGTCACTCAGCCCATTAGTCTTGGACGCTTGTGCCGAACTCATCAAATTCACCCTCGGCACCCTGAGCAATACAGAAACTCATGCACCCTCGAAGCACCTGCGCCGTCCGCAGCATCCATGCAGGTTGCCTGCAACTGAACTCAAAACTCCGTGCTCCGCAAGATGAAAGGCTTGGGTTGTTCGCGGGTGGCTTCTGCCTTGCCCTCCTCAAGTAAGCATTTGACAACCTCCATGTAGCCTTCATCCGCTGCCCTGATGTGCATACAAAACAGGGCCACATCCTGTCAAATCGCAAATGAAGACTTGCACCACTTCTGAGCAGGCTGCAAGTGCAGCGGCGTGGACCTTGCACTGGGCATGTTGGCGATCTGTAATCTGTAAGAACAGGCTGACAGTGGTGCCCGGCCCTTCTTCATCCGGAAGATCTGGACTGTCTCGTAGCAGCAGCCTCCTGTGACACAATGGCCGCGTTCGCGTTGGCAAGAGCTTTGAGGAAGCTCGGGCTCTTCAGATCTACATGCGGCCTCACAAGGTCGACGTTGCCTTCCCAGGCCGCGTCGTGAAGCGTGGCATCGCTGCCAGCCTCGCCGGCCATGCTGCGAAGCAAGGTGTACCGTGGATCGAAAAGACAAGTGCGCTCCACCCACCTGCGGGGCTTCGCCCTTCTTCCGTGCCTGACTCTTGAGGCAACGGGAGCGTGAACCCGCATGCAGAGACTGGAATCTGCTTCAGTACGTCCAGCTCGCCATCAGAATGAGAAGATGTGAGTTCAAGCGCGATCGGAAATGTTTTAGGTGCGCAGCTGACTTGGGCGTCGTCGGCCTGGATGTAGAAGACTTGGCAGCCTCGGCATCGACATCTGGCCAATGCCGGCAACAATCTCACATGCATGGAACCTTGACTTTCTGCCATGGGTGGTACGATTAGCGTGGACGACAATCTGTGGAGCTTCCTCTGAAGTTCTTGCAACGTCTGGCCTGCTTCGGAGCACCTTCTAAAGCGCAGCAGGCACCCATGGCTTCAGCATGCTGTACTGCAATCTAGGAAGTCTAGCGGCCTAGGGTTTGAAGATTTTCCAACCAGTCCAACCACCAAGCAGAAGCGTGACAAGTCAACCGACATCCATTCACGCATTACAGCAAACCTCGTGTCATACTTACTTGCACGACCAGCAGGCTGCCAGTTAAGTTGAAGCTGAAGGCAGGGCAATCAAAGATCCGCATGCTTAGTAGACTTTGCCCTTCGACGCTTCAGTGCCAACGCATGTTCTCACAGGCTCGACAACCTTGCATCGGCAGAGCCCCTTTTGCGCGCGAATGGTGAAACATGCCGTCTCTGACTTAGTCTTGGAGGCACGCAAACCGTGCTTGCTCCAATCTTGACTCGTAGAGAAGCGATACTCGCAAGCTCTGGTCAAGTCCAGTCAGCTGGCAAACTGAGTGTGTAGTCCTGACAGCGTCATGTAAGAGGAGCCTCTTGCAACGCGAGTGCCGAGCAAATAGCAATCAGAAGCTTTGAAGGATAAAAAGGATCATGCCACATCACTCCCGGTGGCCTTTCGTCGACTCGTACATGCCAGGTCCCACCTTTCCAACATTGATGGCAAGTCCAAAATATCCACGAAGGTATCAACCCGCCTGATTATGAAACATACATATGCCTCCCCGACTCCATCGAACAAAAATGCCAATTGGCGAACACACATAGAGAAATGTACATGCATTGGCCCGGCATTGGCTGGCAGAGAGGGATAGACACTCACACGCAGAAGGGTGCAGGTATTCTCTACGGGGGGAGCTTGTAGCGCCTGCCTGCCGGAGCCCTGGAAGACACAACACAACCAAGAGGCCTCAGGTGGGCTGCTAAGCTCGAGTTGAAGAGGATACCTGACAAACTCTGACAAGGGCGTGTAGACACCACCGTCAGTACTTGACTCAGCAGTTGGTGGCATCTGGTACGGCCGCCGTGTTCTCGGACTGTCTGCCCCTGAAGGGCACCGTGCAAGCTCTTTGCCAAACCTCCACCTGCAGTCGGATTCGACATCTAGTGTGCAAGCTGTCGGCAATGTTGAAACAGGTATGTCTGGGACAACTGCGATGGCTTGTTTTGGTGGTGGCTGATAACGGCCAGGTCCTGGCATGAGGCGACGAGCCTGTAAGCTTGAGCCCTCAAGGCAAAAGCACGAGCTTGCAGTTTCGGTCCTTCGAGAGCCTGTCCCATGCATGATCTGGCCCAGTGTAGCCAGGGCCATTCAGCGAAGGACCCACGATCTGACAAGCAGGGTTGCAAGTGAGCTCTGCGGAATTTCCCGAGCTTCAGAGTCAGGTCCTGCCTTCGCAGCTGGCTTCTTCAGACCGAAGATATACGAGGGCGACTGGCAGAAGCGGAAAAGTGGCCGACCCTATTTGCTGGAACTACTGGCAGGCCACTATATGTATGCCTCAGAGGTGACTAAGAAGTCTTGCATTTTGCTTCCCCGTCTGACACTATAAAACGCTTCGGTAGTCGGAACGCCCTATCGGAAATAAACGGAAGAAGACATGCTCGGTTGTACAGCCCAGAGAGCTCAGCCGTTCAAGAGTTTAAAATCCCAGACATAGATGCACACAGACCTGGAACAAACGAAAGATATGTTGCTGCAACCCAAACCTGTTGGGCGAATCGCGCACCAAGGGACAGGACAGCTAAAGCCCGAGCGAACCTGCTTCAGCAGACGTGACTGCTCCTCGTGGCCTGCCACTGCTGGAATCTTCAAAGGGGGCAATGCTGTCTGTCCACTCAACGCTCTCAGTTTTCAACTGCTGCAGTTTTACTGAAAAAACAAGGGTCGTGAAAATCAGCCAGCGTCTGGCTGCTCCTCTAGGCTTGCGTCGGGGTATGCCCCAAAACATGTACAGGATGCCACGGAGACATGTGGGAAAAACCTACGCCGTTGAGTGCCGACGGAGTTCAGGCAGCGGCAAAGTCTTGGCCACACATGATGGATGTAGGTCATCGATCTGGTCTTGACGAGTGGCTCGCTTTGATGCCATACAGCTCGTCCGGCTTGGCCAGCCTGGCCCAACTGTATCTGGCCAGAGCCTGCGACCTCGAGCTTTTGCAGCCGCCGCCGGCAACGTCGACTCGCTGATGTTCTGGCGATGACTTACGGCAGCTTCTGTGCCACTCGATTGGATGCGGGATGTTCCTCCAGTACTCCAGTTTCTTCTGCTCCTGAAACATGGGAGGCCTCCTGTGAGCTCTCCGGGCAGCCAGCTCCCAGTGATCTGTAGCGTGTGGACAAGCTGAAGCGCTCTCACGAAGCTGGCAGATCCTCGAGACTCGGGAAGGACCCGCAAGCATCTGCGAGAGACACGGAGGCACATGATGGCAAAGAGTAAGAGCCTCGTACGTCTGCCGCGGGTCCGGCGGCTCGAGCATAGGGTGGATGATCTGCCTGGTATCAGCGCAAGAAAGGTGAGGGAGAGGATGGGGGAGGCGGACGACAGCAAGAGTTGGAGCCTTGGATTGGAACCGGACTTTCTCGCTACACCCTTCTGCCTCGCGTCTGCTTCGATCTCTGGTGCCGATGGGGCTGGAGCTGACAGCGCCGGATGTGGACGCAAGCGAGGTCGAAGGTTTGATCCATCCACGAGGTAGAAGAGGTCACGGACGTCTGCCAGGAGAGCGGTGACCACCTCTCCCACAGCGGTTACAAAGGCCGCACTGCATGCCTCAGCCTCTACCCAACTTTGTTCTAGCTTTGCATTGACAGCCGCCTCTCGGGAGCTTTCAAGCAGCTTCTGTGCATCTGCGCCTGACACTTCTCGAAAAGCCGATGCTACCAAGCAGCACAGATACTTGGAATTCTTGCTAAACAAAAACCTTGATATAGATTCATACTTGCATACACCACCGACAAGCATACATACAGTTGAAGTGATTCTTGTCATGATAGAAACCCCAATTTACAGCACGCATACTCACGCATATGCACATGCATGCCTACGTCTACGATTGACAACGGACAAGCATGCAGTATGATTATACATATGTGTACATACCATCTGCTGCCATACAGTACATGCGCCAAAGCTCAACACGTGAAGATGAAGATTTACCGAGCACATTACGGTCACTGCAGGCTGGGAGCTTCGGGTTGATTAAGTTTGCTAAATGATGGGATCCCCTCGCATGACCTCACTAGTATGCATAGAACAAGACACATCCAAGTTCGCAGACGGCGCAAAGAACTTCCGGCATGCTTTATATAAGCGGATCATCGGGGGGTAGCCTGCATAAGAAAATACATGTGTGCACCCTCTCCGAGCACCTGCTTCGTCCAGTGCTTCTGCTTCCTGTGAGCCATGTGCGCCCGTGGGCAGGGAACTGCGTGCTTCCTGGAGGCTCTCCAGGCTTCCGCCTGCCAGCGCAGGGAGAGCAGGGAGGTATGTTCGTTCACGCTGCCTTCTGTTCTGTAGTAGCCTAGCCGAAGCAACCTTCAACTTGCAAAGCAAAGGTTTGGTTGTTGAGGCTCCATCGAAGCACGCCAGCTCGAAATGCAAAACATTCGCAGCATGCGCAACTCCTAGAAGCTAGCCCAAAGAGCGGCAGCTTTGAAGATGATCTCGAAAGTATGGAGTAGACTCGAAGGGGCCTCGACACCTTACCTTTCTTCGCGCCCCGCCTCCATTATGAAGCCAGGCCCTGGTTTGTAAACTGACTGTATGATGTTCGAAGGTCGTAAGACGGCCTCTCTGTCGGCCACCTGGCTGAATTACTGACGCCTTTGCTCAGAGTCTTTAGGGGCCTGGCCCTGCTGAACACATTGACGCACAGAACACAAGAAACGGAAAGCAAAGCCAGCCTGCCGCTTTCAAGCGAAGCGCCAGCTCGCTGAACGCTTCTGCCATCTTCTTCTGGTCGTCGCATAGCTCCTCCGCAAAGAGTCAGGAGCTGCGAAGCAGGAAGACGGAAACCAAGAAGGCGTCCTCGATCTCGAAGTCCAGTCGCTTCACGACCGCGGGGCCCGGAGCAGGAAGCGCGTTCGCCTGCTAACAACTTGTACGAGCCGTATGCAGTCGGCAAGAGCTTACTTTAGTTACTTTAGTTCTGATGCCTGGCGCAGAAAGTGAACCGCTTCTTCCGATGTCTCATGCAACGTGTACCAGAACTCGGCCCGATCCTTACTCGCAGGAGCAGCCAGGCAAAGTTGGATCTGCCAGCGATGTGACTCTGACGAGATCTGACGAGGTGCGTTTCGCAACTTGCCCAACTCTTGGTTGACTTGACCAACTCGAGCGACCAGCTGCTTCACAGCAGCGATGCGCGATTCTGCCCTCGGGTCCTCACAGGCCACGACCCGCAAACCGCTTGGGTTTCCGGACTTTGCCGACACGAAGTCACCGAGTCGGAATCACAAAACTCTCGCAGGATCTTCTCAGTTCTGTAGTCCTCCTGCCCTTGAAGCAGCGAGTGTCGCGCGGCTTGCTCCAAGAGCAGAAGCATGGCCTAGCGCGCGCCACATCAGAGTTGCCATCAGCTGTGGCTTCCCAGCCTCGTGCAACTCAAGGATGCCCTCAATGCCATGGTCGACGGCCCGCTGCATGTCCTGACACGAGACATTGCAGATGCTGCCTCTCTTGAGGTTGGACCGTTGGCCTGCGCCCAGATCCAACTTCGACTGCGCTCGACCATCAGGCTTTCCAGGGTCACCTCCACCAGCTTCGGATCCAAAGGCACCACCTCAGGGCCAGGACTTCGACTCGCGACTGCAGTCAAAACTCCAGAGACTTCTCTGAGGACGAGCCCAGGCCGCCTCCCGGATGCGCGGCTCCAGCGGGGGCTCAGGATCCCTCGGCTTCGCCACGGGCCCGGGCCTGAGCTGCAACCACTGAAAGCGCAACCTGACTCCTGATTCGTCCGGGGAGCTTCGGTTTTGGTGTAGAGGTGGCTGCGCGAAGCTCAAGGGGCAAAGGCTCCTGTGAAACTGCATGCTATGCACAAGAACTTCACTCAAGCACAAGATGGGCGACCGCAGCTCCTGCTGGCAAGCCTTGCATCTCCTTCGATGCTCCAATATCTGCTGGCGGGCTTCCTCAGGCTCCGGACGGTAACTGACTTCAGTTTCAAAAGTTATAAGCCAGCTGCAGAGACACATCCGACAGGCTAAAGGCAAAAGCCAAAGCTGAGAGTCTTCAATGGCACACCTCTTCACGCGATCAATGGTTTTCCGGAACTTCGCTTCAGCAGCTTCCATAGCCTTTCCATGCCGGAACTCCGTCTGTTTCCTTGGCTTCTCACGTAGCACAATACTGAAGGGTCCGCTCTGCTCTATGCAACCCAGTCCCTGAGTTGCTTTCAGGCGCAAAATTCCTGCCTGAACACATCCCCTTCTGGACTGAATGCGTCCGGAATCAGCTTTGCTGCCAGCGCCTCCAAAGCAGTTTCTCGACCTGTGCCCGCTGGGACTAATCCCCTCGCCGCATGTATGGCTCCCGGAAAACACAAAATCCGAGTCCAGGGCTCTTCAAGACCGTCTCGTGTTGGAACTTCCTCATACATTCAATTCAAGTCTGAAGCTTCCAGGTCTACAATTGTCTTCATGGCTCAACCACAAGCTGCCGTCAAGTCGCAGATCTGCAAGCTCCCCTTCGTGTCTTTCTAATGCGAGGTTATACTTCAGCTTCGCCGCTTCCAGCTCCTTCGTAAGCCTGAATCTGGCTGAACGCACTGACTTCAACTGAGCAATACCGCCCTGCATGATGCAGACCCGATAAACATTCCCGGAACCCCCTCCTCTGCACAGAATTCTGCTCCCGCCGCTCGGAGGCTTCTTCACTGAGTTCTTGCTTCCTCTGGCTGCAAGAGACACATCCAAGCGCTAGATGAGCCCATGAGAGCGAGCTGCCTGTACCCGTAGCACAACACTTAGAAAAAGGCATCAAGCATGCGCTGGGTGTGTGTTCAAGCTCTGACTTCCGGGTGGTACGAGTAGCTTGGAAGGAGCTTGAAGGGCACTCTGCAGGGGCACACTGCATCGTGACAACAATCAATTACTGGAGGACCAAGACCCTTTGCACCTTCCTGTTACTGTTGCTGACCTCGGGAGCTACCGCGGTAACCTAATATTGGATGGCGTGGGTTTTCGGGGTGGAGGACAGACCAGGAAAACTTCAAACGTTCTGTGCACTCAACCGAGCTGCACAGTACATAAGAGGCATGCTGAACCATTCTTCGAGCATGCATAACACAAAGGCAAGCATCTCCCTCATCCAAGTCTGCTCTGCTTCCATCAACCTGGGCTTGGCAGCATGGAAGCAAGAAGCTTGGATCTTTTGACTCCTACCCTGGTGCCCGATCACGAGCAAGAGGCGTCTTTTGCTGCTGGGCTGAAGATACAGCTGCGGCATGGCGCTCCTCCAAATCCTTGCCACGTGCACTCCATAAAACCAAGAGGCTGAACGATTGGCAAGCGTGTCACGACTGCACGGTAACAGTCAGCCCTCCAGTCGCAATGGAGCTGCCGTCTTCATGCTGGTCATCTGGAGCCTCGAAAGCAGCTCTCAACCACATGGAGTTGCTCAGCGGACTCTGCAGCCACACCACTCGTTCAACTGTTCCAAACTCTCCACTTCGTTGGTGAACCTGAGTTGAAAACATGGACGACAAGCATGACTCAGCCAGACATGTCTAGAAATGTCTTGTATGCAGTCTGGGAGCTTTTGCTCCACAAGCTCCAGCCGGGTTTCTGCCGATTCAGCGACAGCTTCGCACTGCAACATGGCATGGCTGTACCTTGACAGGTGGATGTGGACAGCAATCGACTGCTCACCATGTGTTGCCGTTGCAATGTAGTGCTCGATAGCACTCGCCAGTTCTTTTTAGGAGCCCGTGCCGAGAATGGCATGGGACCATTTGCTCGCATCGAAACATGACTAAATAATCGGCTTCTGACTGATCGAACACAACTCAGTCGTGATAGCGCATACGGGTCCCCCCAGGCATGCTTCGATGCGACGTACACTGGGTTGATGAAAACTCATTTGGATGGAGTGCTTGTTGTGTCTGAAGCCTCACGATGACAACGATCCCGACACACATGCCATCGACAAACCCTACGCATGCAATGCCGGTATCAACTTCGAGGCAGAGGAGACTGACTAGGGAACGGTCCTGCCATGTGCAGAACACACCCCTTAACTTATCTATCGGATCGACGTTAAAACCCATTTGCCGGTTGGTTTCTGTGATTGAACTCTGGCTTGCTAAACCGTCGAGACTAGAAAGCCTGTCGGCTAGGCAGACGCAGAACTAAGCGCAGCGAGGTCGCTGGTGGTCCATGTCCGATATAGACGTGATGTGCTTCTCTTCCTCGTTACACTGTCCGAACTTTTGAACTTCTGAATCATGGTGGCAAAAGAAGAATTTGCAGCATGCGGACAGGTGCGGGCGCGCAAGTCGTAGTCCAGGCCAAGATGCCAGTTCCTTCCTCAACAGCTCCATGGCCTTGTCGTGCTTCTGCCGAGTGGCTTCGAGCACGTTTGTGTACTTTTCCTTACCGCGTGAACGGATGGAGTTGGAATGTTGTGCAAGGTTGAAGTAACCGAGCAGCAATCGACAGGTGGTACTTGATTTGGCCAGCTTCCAGGCCGGCTTCCAACCTCACCTGGTCAAGCTTGGCCCTAGCTGGCCCTTTTGATTCGCCGCCGCACTCCGAACAAACACTCAGCCAGTTGCTGCTTCAGGAAGCTGAGTTGCAGAACTGGCAGTTTCATGTCGTTTGCCAATTTTTGCCTAACCACGGCCCAGAGAACACTGGTGAGAATACGAGGCACGACTTCATTCTGGTGATCTTCGGCCATCTTCTCGCATTTCGATTCATGACTTTCTCGCAAGTCCTTCTCGCAGTTCGCTACTGCTTCCTGGCCGCAATGAGACTGCTTCACTTTTCATTTTCGGTGGATATTCTGAACATTTCTGAACATTAAGAGAAAGGTACGTGCAGGCAGGTCCTGCAGCCTTTGCACCGAGGCTTCTTTTTCTTCTAGCAGTTTCTCCTCTGCATCACAAAGCAGTGCCTCGCATCAAGACTGGAGCAAGGGTCAAACTCTCAAACCAGATGGTCAACGAATTCGCAAAAACAAACGTTGGCCTGCTGCTTCTCTTCCACAGCTTTCTGAGCTTCATACCTGGCGTGACGTCTTTATCTTGGCTGAGCAGCTCACCCATGTTGTGGGCCTCTCATCAGCCTTCAGCTGCCGCTCTGCCAGGGTCAGAGCATGTCCTCGTAACTTCTTAGCGTCACGAGGCTTACAAGCACGGGCGGTCAATGCGACAGATTTTCGGTTCTGTGGCCCACTAGGCGCCGCTGCATCAAGCAGAGTCCGAGCATCTTTCTGCTGCTAATTGGGAAGCTGCATGGTGGTGCTGCTGGGAAACCTGCATGGCTTCTCTGCAGGCAACGACTTCCTGACTTCTTTCTCGAACGAGATTGGCCGGAGGTCGCCTCCAGTGATGTCTCCAGGGTGGTTTTGGCCTTCTTCTCGAAGGCTGTGAGCTCCTCGAGTGTTGGTAAGTCTGATAACACAGTGCGTAGACATTGTGCCTGTCACCAGGAACACAGACACCGCCAACAGCAGACAGTGTGCAACTCTCAACTCAACAAATAACTTGCTGGTTCACGAGCGATGCTGGACACAAGCAGCTCGAGGCTTGACTTACTGTGAGATTCACGTAGGCTACAGCCCTACATGGCATCGTACCTCGATGCAGCTTTTGCATGTGTCGAAGGAAATTTAGAGACAGACGGTGTGAGCAGTGAGCGAGAGAGAGAGAGAGAGAGCGAGCCAAAGAAGAGGAAAGATAGCTGCGCAACGCGAAACAAGCCGCGGAAGTCAATCGACAAGGTCGTCGGTGTCTGATGTCCCGGCTTGGATGCACACTCGTGGCATACTCGTACAGGAAATTCGCGCCAATGAGACGAGCTTCGGTCTCCAGTGTGGAACACCGACTGGCAAGCTTGGCATTCTCTTGCTCTTTGCGCATGAGAGCATCGTGGTACCTCGCCACGGGACAGATTGCATGATTCAAGGATGCTGGAAGATACAGTCTCATTGTCTCATGCCTGCGAATCTGACGCCGCTGGCCTCGACTCCAAGTCTGCACGGTGCCTTTCGAGTGCCTGCTGGATCCTTGAGAGCGCGAGTCATGCCGAGACCTGGACCTATAGACCGGGGAACAGCCGAGATGCTTCTGCTCCGACAGATGCATTGCCAAGTGATGTTTGTTCTCCACGGAACGGAGTGCAGCTTGCCGGCCTCAGGCTGCAAAAAGGAGAGCGAGGAAGCGACTTTTCGTGTGACGGTGCATCAAGTGCAACCGAGGCGACTCTGAGTTGACAGCTCTTCTTGCTGTGCTGCAGTCTGCAAGGCGAGGCGGCATTCCATCTCCGAAGCTTCTTGCCTCGTCAAACATGAAATCGCATCAGGATCATGAGAAGGATTGAGAGGGTATGGCAAAGCCTCCGTAGCTCCCTGAAGCTTCGACCGAGCTGCATGACCTCCCGCTGAATAAGTGCCATCTGGAACTGTTGCTGTGCTTCGAGGTGAGCAGCACGCCGCGCTTCTTCGACATGTCCTCGAAAGGCCATGGTTGAATTGACTTCATCGCGAGTCTCACGCACACAAGCACTGCGACGCAGCTGTGTTTGAAACAGCAACACAGCCCGATCCACGCAGTCGGGGGAGATGACTGCGCAGGCTGCACTCGTAGTGCAAGCACATTATGTTCTGTCTCAGAATTCCCTGGGCTCCGGCCTCCATGTTGCCGGGACAGCAATTCTTCCTGCTGCTGCGACGATGAGCGGAGATCATCGATCTCAGCGTTCCTCAACCGAGCTCAGCCAGAACGCAACTGCAAGATGTCCAGCTGAAGAAGCGGAAACTCAACTTCTCATGTCGCCCTTGTAAATTCAGGTATGGAGCCAGCGTGCTTCGGAGAGCTCTGCCTTTTGCAGCAGTAGCTCTTCACTTCGCTCCATACCGGCCTGAGTGGCCGGGAAGTATGTCCGGCATCATGAAAGTGAGCGCCAGTACACGTGCGCAGCGTGATGTCAGACGTGGGCCGCTGCACATCGCTCGCGTGGGTCCACTTAGGCTGAGCTCTCCAAGTGAATTTCCAGCGCTCGTGAGACAAAACCCTACAATGCAAGCGCCTGCTGTTCAGCCCGTCAATGACAATAACATCGTGCTGATCAGGAGAACTCTCAGAAGTGTCTGATAGTCTGATAGTCTGACAGTCTGACAGGCTTCAGACTGAACAAACAGCGACAACCGCTTGCACATAAATCCGCCGAGGCCAGAGGCCCGGGCGTTTTGGTGGTTACCTCAGGTACCCTCCACCTAATCCTCCTCCCTGCAGCCGAAATGATTGGTGACACCCTGTTTTTGCGTTCGTTTGCACCCCCTTGCCCGGCTTCCCCTCATTTTACCTGATTTGTCGGCCTCCCCCCAGCCCTCCCAGGCCTCCCTTCCCTCATTTTACCTGACCCCCCCTCCCCCCCCCTCCCCCCCCCTCCACCCCCCCCCCCCCCCCCCTCCCCCCCCCTCTCCTGTGCCCGTTTTCCTGGCACTTCGTATCAACAACTGTGTAAAGGTTGGGGTTTGACAGGCCGCCCTAGCATAAAAAAACATAGACTGCCCCCTCGCCCTGCCGCGACACAGCCGAGGCGGGCGGCGTAGCGTTAAAATTAGACAGAGACATAGTGAAAGTCCGGCATTCTTGTTTTCGTAGGTAGACGTACCAGCGCCAAGCATTCAAGTCGAACTCAACCGCTTATGAAAACATGCTGATGACTAACTGGCCACGGAAGGCGACACGGGCAAGATCATATAGCGGGATCCCATGTTGAACATGAGGCCAATACTTTCGGGAACAAGAATCTCATGCTGCTTGCCGCCACTACCACAGTTCTGCCTGTGCCGCAAACATCCTCAAACTCAAACCCTCCAGGCAGGCATGAGACGTGTGAGGTGACAGCCTCACTAGAAACTGCTAATATACTGCTGAAAACGAGCAATGCTGTCTCGCAGCAGAAAGAGAAAAGCGTGCAAAGCCGCCCACTTGGGTCCGGACCAGCTCTGCCCTCTGCCTGGGACTCAGTGAGACATTTAGGGAACGGGAAGAGTAAGCCCCTTGGCTTGGCAAGGCAACAGTAGGATCTCTTCTGCTAACTCCATGATCATGCAGCCCAGAATCTTGATTGGTGGGTTTGTGCAGTTAGCAGGGTTTGCAAATCTCGCTTCGATTTTTGCAAGACCCATATGACAGACTTGCCGAGGCCAACAGGCCTTCTTCGAAGAGTTTCGTTCGCAAAGTGGCGACGGTCTGCAATCCTCTTCCACTTCTCGCTGCTCAGGCAGACGAGAGCTTGGATTTGGGCCTACACTCTTGCCCTGCCTCTGTCGTTTCGGGTCCGTTGTCTGAAGACTGCCCAGCACAAACTGAACCTGAATAAGTCAAGCTGAAAGCCTGACCTCCGTGAGCATGCATACGCCTTCTCCTTATCCTCCCTCTACTCTGCTCCTCCAGGTGCCTCCTCCCACATCTTCAGCCCTTGCCCCGTGCCGTGTCGTTTTAGTTTACAACCAACATCGGAGCAAATCGCTATGTGCCGGCAGGTTTCCGCTCGATGGTCATGAAGACTTCGTCCAAGGCCGCTTGGTGCCTCTTCTCCTCGGCATTTGGCGGATTGAAGTTCACGTTTATCAGGTTCCTCCGCTCTTCCTTCGGCTGAGCTTCGGCTTCGTTTTTGTACTTCATCTCCAGCTCCATGCGATGCTTCTCCAAAGCACGTGCGATCTTCTGCTCTGCTGCTTTCAGCCTTTGATGCCAGGTCATGCATGGCCCGAAATCCGCCGGACGGATGGATGCGCCACCTTACTACATGTTACTTACTATATACCTTTCATTCCCAGGCCCCGCAGCGAGAGCTGATGCTTCTGTTCCATGGCCTTCAGTGCCGCGGTGTGGCGCTGCATCACCTGAGCGGACAGAGCCGCAGAGCTCAGCAGAGCTCAGGTCTCGCTCCGATTCGCTCCTTTCTGGGGCCAAGGCGAGGGCCTCGTTGTCCTGTGCAGCCTGAGCCTCTGCATTCAGCCTGTCCTGTCAGTCGCTGCAGCAGCTTTGGCCGGATGTTTTGGAAGTACGCCAAATGAACAACACCCTGTGCTTTTCAAACTTCATCATCTAACCATACAATTACAAACAGACCTTCCTTTAACAACAAGGTTTCAAAGGTCCTCTGTCACACGTTGCCGCAAAGCCAAGGTCTCCAGCGAAGCCTCGTGCTCAAGAGCTGCGACATGGCCTGGAGCCTATAGCCGACAGTGGCGTTGCGCCTCATACCTCATCGCTTCCCGCTGGTACTTCTCCTGGCCAAGCGCACGGAAGCGCCGGAGCACCACCACGACTTCCTCCCCAGAAGGTCAAAGCCGGGCCTCTGCCATCATCACGCTTTGCTCCTCCGCCAAGCTCAGCTGAGACTCGAGGGCTTCCCCGGCTTCGTTTCGGCTGGCAGTCGCCGTCAGGTATCTGCCAAGCCGCCAAGGCTAGAGCTTTCAAGACGCTCAGAAATTCCGGACGGGAATGCCCAACCCTGACCTCTGCTGAACCTCGTTCAGTTCAGCCCTCTTCTTGTCCAAGGATGCCTGAAACGGTGATGCAATTTCTTTGTCTCTGCTCCGACTCCTTGCGGAAAAGTGCCTGGTACTTCACTCCAGCTGCATCCAAGGCCGCGGTGTGTTCTTCGAGTGCCAACTTGTAATTGGCCCTGCCCAAGAGTGCCAGCCACGTGCAACTGCACACAACAGCACCTCTCATTCCCTGTGAAGCAGCACTCGCAGGCCTCGTGAGGTCAAGGTCGCTTTTGAACTTCTCCATGCGGCTCAAAGCCACATAACGTATCCATGCCTCTGTTCGCACTGCAAGACCTCTTGACTTGGATGCAAGGCTCCAATAAGTATGTCATTCTTGCAGCCTCCATGTGGCAGCGTAGCAATCTCAGGACGGCACCGACATCGTGGTGGAGAGGTATAGTGACACATCAAAGTCCTCTAGGTACGTGGCGCACCTTGCCGCCATCATCTCGGGCCGCTTCTTGGCCTCCTCCACTGCTCTGCGCTGTTGCGTGAGCCACGCCTTCGGCGATTCGCAGCAGCTTAAGCGAGTTCATACTGCTTGCATGTCCGGTCTGTGGCGTTTGCAGGGTCACGTCAACCCTGAAGCTAAGGTGCCTCTCGACTCGTGGACGCCCAGGCAAACCACGCCATGCAGCAACAAACCGGCGTCAAAGTGCGCTCTGCGGAGAGAGCTTGCAGTTCCTAGGCTCATCTTATACTCCGCCTCCTTGCAGGTGCAGCGCTTTGCAAGCAAGGTCTCCAAGTGCATAGTAGACTCGGTGCAGCGTGCGAGCTTGTGCCAGGCTTGATCTCCAGCTTGGAGGGCTGCGTCCTCGCACGCTTGAGACACATGCAATTTTCCAAACACTCCCCTCAAAGCTCGACCCTGTTGCCAGGTCTGGCCTTCTATGCTTTAGGAACTTGGGGGTCCGGGATTGATACTACGGCGACCCCAGAAGAATCGGGACCCCTCTCTCCGGCCCGGCTTGTCAAAAACCTGTTAGAGCCCCTCGAAGGTGCAGATCCCATGCTTGAGACACGCGGCAACGAGCCAGCGAGAAATAGATTAACTTGACTAATACTCTCGCAATGCATACATGCGCCCACTTCCATAGAGGCCGCGGCTCCTTGATAGAGTGGACGGTGCCAAGAGAGGTGCGGCAAATAGCCACCTGCCGGCTGGCTCGAGGCTGCCATGACTGCAAGACAAAGCCGTGTCGGCACAAATTTGCACACCGAGTTCTGCACCCAGAACCACCACACTGCCAGCAGGGACCAGGGTGGCCCCATCATCTCCCGCTGCCGAGCAACGCGAGCACAAAGCTCGAGGCCATCATCACGCAATCCGATCGCTTCCTCCATGACCTTGAGTCTTCAGTCGGTTCGCAACGTCTTAGCACCGAGCGATACCGAGACGTTATCTGAGATTTTGTGACGAGTTACATCCGACCCTCCTCCACTCAATGAAAGAGACGAGGTGCTATAAGTGCTGCATATTTTCTTTTCGCTGTTTTTGGTTCGGTTCCATCACATTCTTGCAGTTTGCCTCCCAGCTCGCCTTCACGCCGCTCCTCCGAGGCCTGGCTTCCGTGGGGTTCCGGATCGTGGCTCGCCCCCTTTTCCGGGCACGGGCTCGCAGAAGCTTCCGATTTCGCGAAAAAGCTGCGGGAACTTTCAAAGCCGGGTCTCGCGTGAAGTGCGCAAGCGACCCTGGCAAATGCACTCGCCACAGAGACAGCTGCCCTGAAAGCATTTGCTGGGGGCTTCCTCTAAAGGGCACATCACCACGATCAAGTTACGGAACGCCCACCCCGGCAAGTTCAAAGACAAATTGAGCAAAACTAGTTGCTTTCGCGATTTCTAAGCAACAAGGTGCAGCAAAGACACTCGGAACGCTCGAGTCTTGGCTGTCTCGTAGCTCCAAGCTTGCCACACACGAAGAACCAGTGTTGTAGCAGCTGCATCGAGCCTGTCTCCCAAACTGCGCAGAGAGAAATGTCGAAGGAAGTGATGCTCAGGGCTGTCCGAGTCTGCCTCAAGCGGCAAATCCCTTTGTCTAGTGCGCACCGTCCACGAGCAAGGCCAGCCTTGGCAAGGTCTCTGACAGCAGCCTCTTACTCCTCTCTTACAACGCTCAAGCTTTTGCCCAGCCCATCTCTCGCCGAGCAGCAGCTAGTTGTTGCCATGACAGCAAGGAGCGGTGCAAGGACAGCGAGCCTGAGTCTGTGACTGTGCAAATCAGTCGGCATGGATGCGATGTTTCAAAATCATGACCGCAATCGCAATCCAGTCACTTTCGCCGTGATCCACTAGGAAAAGCCGCCGCCATCGAGCCCTGCGTGACCCGCGCGTTCCCAACGTGCCAGATGAGGCACATAGCAATCGCCAGTGCTGCACGACCACACCTTGCAACTGCAAGTGAAGGGCCAGGGGAGCTTCTTGAGGTGACGCGCCCAAGATTTGGACCTCGCCAACTGCAACAGTTCAGAGAAAGACTTCTTTCAACCAAGAGACTCATCGTGCACCAGCTCCCTGCGGCGCATGGCATCGCGGCCAGTTGCTGCTGGAAGCGCTCTGCCCAACGGGCGAGATTCCAGCTGCGGTACCAGCTCCGGGCAACCCACAATGCCTGCGAACTGTCGAACTCAAGAGATCAGCACCCACTCACAAGCAAGCTCCATCTCGGCTGGGCTGCATCTCCACCCGATCGCTTGCCCAAAGACTTGGCAAGCTTCCGACGCCGATCGGCTGCTGCGTCGGCTCCAGCAGCATCGCGCCTCAAAATCAAAATTCATCCTAGGGCACCCTGGCCGGCACAAGACGAGTCAGCAAGAGCCGACTGTCGTAAACAAACCGAGAAGTTGCACCGAACTGCGGTTGCGCGCCTGTCTGTCTGGATGATCCTGAAGTGCTCGAACCAGCTCATTGCCACCGCCTGCACTGAGGTATTGAGCATCCAAGCCTCAGTTGTTCTGCGAGAAGGTGGAGGCACGTTACAAAAACCTGACTACCTGTCTGGCCACCAGCCAAAAACCTGACGACCTGTCTGGCCACCAGCCAAGTACCAACGTGACCGACCCTTCCAAACTCAAAGCCAACTGTTGAAGGCAAGTTGGCATACTTCTTTGCCATCGCATCAGCGGCCCGCTTCCTCTCAAGCCAATGACGCCATGAGCGAAACCAGCCGGCTGCCAAAGCGCGGCCAGCATCTCCAAGAGTAGCTGCATATTTCTGGGCCAACTGGTCCTGCAGGCCCCTACAGTTATGGTGCTGGACAGCCTCCTACAGCCTTACAACAAGCCAAAGGAGGAAGACTTTTTCGAGAGAAATCGGCTTCGGTCCGCTCTTCGACTCCGCTGGCCCTGCTGGCTCTGCCACTGAAACCAACGCAAAGCCCAACTGACGGCCACGGCTCTGTTGCCCACGTGGGCCATGTTTCCCTGTCAGCGCTCCGATGTACGATTGGACTGCTAGGGCGGGGTGCTGGTATTGCCGAGGCACGGCGAAAACCACGAAGCGAGAAACGTCCTTGAGATCATTGGACAGGCGTGTTGAGCTGCTGTGATGGGCACGACTGTTCCGGCGCTCCACGTGCAGCAAAGCTTCGTACCGCTGGCGGTTCAACTCGAACCATCTCAGCGCCTGCTAGCTTCGGAGCGATTTGTGGCTGTTTCGCGTGTCTTTGCCATACGTGTTGTTGTCGATGCTTTCAGCTGTTCACTGGGGCCAATAAGAAAGCATCCTCGCAAAGCCTTCCCGACGCTCTACCAGCACAGCTGCCAAGTTGGCCAAGTGCAACGAAAGCGCCCAAGTTGCAGTTACCAGGTAGTTGCTCACCTGACATGCACGACTTTAAGATTCTTGAGGGGAGCATGTTAAGCCTCGTGCCTATTATGCTAACCACTGCTAACCTGTGCAGCTTGCTCAGGCTTTAGGATCTTACTGGGCACATCTCAGAACGATCAGCTTTAGCGGAAAACCTGTGACGCGATGTCAACAGCCAGGATGAGTTTTCTGAGACTGTGTTGTCTGTGTGCACCTGCCGAGCTTGAACATATTCTCGTTGCACGGCAATGCGGCCAGGTCACAATTCCGCCCGGCTTTCTCGAAGCAGCATGCTGCCTCAGCTGTCAGCCGTGACCGTCCTCAGGTAGAGTGACCCAGCACTCTGGGCTGAAGGCGTGCGGGCAACGTAGAGCGCCGCCTGTCTTGCGATGTGTACCTCGTTCAAGCGGCAACTAATGTGCTGCACACGACCCGGACATCTAGATGAAATAGATCCCAGCGTTGCAAGAGCATCCCTGCCCGGCACACAGGCACTGACAAAGCGCATTAAGCAGTTCTGTCCCGAATACCATCCTGTCTTTGCGCAGGAACAGCGCAAGTCCGCTACTACTGCTCAAAAGGATCTCATACATCGTAGCACCCGCCGGATACATAAGCCGAGAGTTCCCGGCATACCCTGGGTAGCCCTTTTGTGCTGCTAGGGCAGAACTTGCTGGAGATTCTCCGAAAGCGGGCCTTCCGATAGACCTCGAACCAGCGCACCACCCAGAAAGCGGCTTCCAGCAAATGGCTCCTTGAACCGTCTCAGTTCGGAACCGGGTCCAGCTAAGGTCTATTTCTCGGAACAAATGCCAGATCTTCTCCGAGCGTCACAGCGCTGGTGGCATTGTCCACTGCGTGGTGCTTCCGTGCCGCCGCCAGAGCGAGAGACCGCGCTCGGTTCAGATGCCTCTGCAGCTCGAACCATCGGATCGCCCACGCAGCCGTCCGCCAGGTTTCCTGCACATGAACAAACTGGAGCCCAAGAAAGCAAAGATCGTCCCAAAAACCTTCAATCGCCGGATTATCCGAGCGGCACTACCGAGGCTCCCCAGCCGAAGGGTGAAAGCTCTGGCGAAGTCGGGTCGAGGTCGCGGGCTCTTCTCACGCCTGTCGCAACAGATGAGTCTGACGGCCACCCGTTTTCCGCCCAGGAAAGGCGCATGCTTACAGGTCCAATGCGATTCAAGGCTCGAAAGTTGGAACCACGCCAAGGCAGCGAGGAGGCTCGCTGGATCCTGACCCGGCTCAGCCAGGTATTGGCTTGGCTGGCACGGCAATGGTCCAGTGGACACAATTAGCTTGTAGGCACACAGATTCTCAGTCTCTCACTCTCAGGCCAATTTAAGTCAAGCGACACATCTGGTCATTCTGTCTGCCATATAACTGGCGACACGGTGCGCAAGAAACGTTACCTTGAGTGGTCTAACGAGTCATTGAAGGATCTGGGCTCCGCAGAATAATTCAGAAGGCGCTTAGGGGCTGACGTCATTCCTAGCACCAGTGCCTTCACCATCGAAATCCTCCTCGGAGATCCTGGGAGTGACATTGGACTTGCATCCGTGATCGGCCGGGGAGCTGAGGCATCAGGTTGCTTCAGGGGTCTAAGAAACCCGCCTGCTTTGCGAAGTTCTTTGCCCGAACTCCTGTCAAGACTATGCAGTCGGTGCCCTATTTCCTTAGATTCCTGCACATAACACCTGCACGTGAATTGCCACATGCTCTGACTCCTGAGGCTGGGTGCCATCACTGGAACCGACCTGGGTATTGACAAGGGTCTGAAGACAGGAGTTTCACAGCTAGCCGCTATGTACGTGCTTGTACCCCCGGTTCATCCATACCTTGAACAACTGCCGTGCGAGCACCGGTGATTCAACCTACTCAGGCAAACCTTTTAGCAACAAGATTTCGTATCGGAAGAGAGTTGTGATCCGTGTCAAATTGCTGTGCACACTACCGAAGGCCAAGAGAGCACTTCAGCAACCCCAGATAAGTCGGCAAACTATCGACCTGCCAGAAAGCAAAGCCGAGATGCCCCACCATCAGGATGCCCCGATTGAGCTGAGAGCTCGAATGTTTCGAGACCTCCAGAAACCTCATCTCAATGAGGCGGGGAGACTTCTTTGCTTGCTTTCCAGCGCACTCTGACCTCGCTGAAGCCTTTCTGTTGTACGTTGCGGTTCTGTCATGGGTTGACTGATTTCTGGAATGGGCCAGCCGAAAACATCCGAAAACCCCACTGATTGGCCACGACGCGCCGTCATGGGACTGTCTGGTGGTCTGCAAGTCGGATTCGGAGCTTGCTTCTGCCCCCGTCGCCAGCAGCTCTGCCGAGCCCAGTTCTGCTGCCTGCGCCTCAGCATGACAAGCTGGCAACTGCAGCTCGTGCCCCAACTTCCGGCAGAAGGCGGACCGCTGTGGCCAGGGTGCTGCGGCATGTGCCGATTGCGCCACTGGCTGTGATCCCTCTGCTTCGAAGGCATCCACCTCGCCAGCGGCATGCTCTTCAGATGCTCCCCTCAGTGCTGCAGCCTGAGCTTTCGAATCCTTTGTAGATTCCGCTGCTTGACGCGTTTGAGGGAATAAATGCGGAAGAAGACCTATGGAGGCAGCTCAGCCAGATTCAACTTTATCCACTCTGCCTTCTCATGTAAAAGCAGTCCTAAAATGCCTCACGTATAGACGTAGTTTTCCTGTTTGCCGAGACGCGCCGTCGTAGGAGGGTCTGGTGGCCTGCAAGTCCGATTCCGCGCTTGCTTGAGCCCCCACCGTCATCACTTCTGTCGAGCTCATTTCTGCCTCCTGTGCCTTAGCATGACAAGTTAGCAACTGCAGCTTGTGCCCCCACCGCCCCAACTCCCGGTCCCCAGAACAATCTGTCCAGCCAGAGTTCAGCAATGTCAACTGTTTGACCCGCAAGTGGCGCAGGCGTGTCACCAGCACCTGTGTAAGTCAATCTCGCATGGTCTTGCTCGAGTACTCTCCCCTGGTCAGCATGCACCTAGGTCACTTGTAAAGCTGTTCTCGCCATGCGCGCGAGGAGTTTATGTTAGACCCTTCGAAGAAAATACCTTCTTTAAGTCTGTCAAGGTGCACTTTTGGAGGACGGCCGACGAGCAGCAGGCTCAGAAGCTTCTTCTGTGGTTGTCGGCGCGTCTTCAGCTGGCGTTTTGCCTTTCGGCGTCCGGTCTGCCCGAACAGAAGAGTGGTCCTGAAAAGTTTGCTGGATCTGAAGCGTGCAAACCAGACAAACACCACGAGGAACAGACAAGTTGCTGTCATGCCGCTATATGCCGCTTGCAACGATGTGCTCGTGCAGCCGGGCTGCAAGGTCGCTGGAAGGTCTGGAGGCTTTCGTCGCCGCTGTTGCTTGTAGCTGACGCGAATGACTGCTTCGAGCTTCTTTGGTTGAAGATCTGCCACCGGGTCGGGCTGCGTCCTTGGCAACACCCAATTTGCATGGGGCGCCAGACAGCAACGTAACAATAGCACAATAGCCCTGCCCAGGCCGAAAAGCGCAATCTGCACTTTGTGCCAAGGGGCTTGGTCATCAGAGCCTCTTGAGCTCTTGTCTCTAGCTGGGGTCCCTGGCGTGTCCTCTGGGCGATGTGCACTTTTCGAGGATGCACGATCCTCAGCTGCTTTCAGCTGCACTCGTTGAAAACCACTCGACGACATGCACGTCGTGAGAAGCGGCATCAGCCTATGCCCAGTTAGCTGATGCTCCTAGAAGCCTGTCTAAACATAGCACGCCTCGTAATGCAATGTTCGCAAGTATCACGGCACACATACACACACTTGACACATCGTGTCGCAGGTCTGATCTGTCGGTGCATACTGTCAGGGAAAGTCAGCAGCTGTCAGGGAAAGTCAGAGGCTGCACGGGAAAGTCAGAACATGCAATCAGAAGCATTACCATAGGATACACGCGAATCACTCATGTAACTGCACATGAAACTGCACATGAAACTGCACTGCACTCCTACCCGCAATCAACAGTTATGTAGTCGCAAGCTGCACAAATGTGCCCATGCCGACCACTGCAGGTACGTTTACCTGTCTCAATATCACGGAGCTTCGTTGGCAGAGGCCGTGAAATGAGACCCTCTGCCCCCTGCTGCTTAACTCACTCACATCTCTTGGAAACAGAGTTGGACACACACACACACACACACACACACACACACACACACACACGTACGTACGAACAAACACAGTCGCGACTCCCTGACCTCTCCGAGGTTCTTTTCTGGAGTGCGCATCGGATCGGATCGACGACAGTGAAGATCTATCAGAGTATCGCTCTTCAGGCTTGTGCGATGCAGTGATTTCGAGCTGGTCTCCGGAACTCTTGGCATTCTTTGGCTGTCCGGGCTGAATGGCCGATCTTTGAGTGTCCCCCAATGGCCGGCGAGCCTGATTCGGAGTAGAGCCGGACGGATCACTGAAGGAAGGCGTACGGGCTCTTGAAGCCGACAATCGACTCGGCGCAGCTGCGCTTAGAGCTCCTGTTTCGGAGTGTCTCGATGCGAGTCGGTTCCCAGCTCGTGCAGCTCGCAGCTCCTCCGCTTTCGCCTCGACCAAAGCAGCACTTGGACTTCTCCCGGACCGAGATGAAGCCCGAGAGGTCTGGGATGCCGAGCGTCGACTTCTGGTACGCAGGCCGCTTTCCAGTTCGATGGCCAGCTGCTGCAGCTTTCGGCTCGTGTCAGCATCTCCAGGCAAAGAATCTGCTGGCTTCACGTTCTTCGACTTCGCAGCCGCAGGCTTCATCTGAGAGGCGCCTCAACTTCCAATCTTTGAACGACTTCGGCAGGTCGCCTTTCGTGGGAGGACTTCGCACGCAAAGATACATCAAGGAGGCAACACCTCCTTGAATAGAAGGTGTCAGCCACCATAGCTGAAAGAAGCAAAACGAGCTTACAACATCTTCTTTTTTGGCACCCCGGTCTCTGATGCTAGCACATCACCATCTGAATTCTGAATGAAATCTGGCGTCATGTTGGAGATGACAAGCACAATCAACCTTCTACAGTAGAAAAGGAGTATGACATTGAGGCGGCTTGCATAACGTGGAAAAGAGCGAAAGTGGGAGTGCACAGGAACATTGTGATACCCTTTGTCGACTCGGATCTTCCAAACGAGCACCCGAGTGTCCTACCAAGAAGCTCAGAGCCAGAGAGGGCGATGGGGATGGGGACACCAGGAATGGAAGCAATGACAAGCAGTACACAGCTTGAGCGTTCACCTTCAAAGCTGCTCAAAGCTCAAGACTGTAAAGCAAACAAGAGCGAGAAGTCACGCACGCGCCTAGATATTGGCCTGGTCCAGGACCGTCCAAGTGCGAGGAAGACCTAAGGGCAAGGGGCACGAGCTGAATCGGAAACAGCTGTTGGGGGAAGTCTTGAAAAAGCTCAGGTCAGCCGCCGGACGTGGCTTAGATCTGTCATCTTTCTCGATTGCCTGAGCCGGCAGGGCTTGTGGGTACGTCGGCACTTTGCTTGGCAGGCCGGGCGAATGAGGCAGATGCAGATCGCGTCTCTCCTTGGAGTTGCACCAGGTATACCTCGGCTCTTAGTGCACCATGTGGCACTCTGCGACGCTTGCAAGCACTGGGTGGACTGCCCTGGCGCCCGCTTGAAGCCCGGGTGTGGACCTCGGACGTTGGCCTCCAAGACCTGTCAGAAAAGTTGGAGCAAGACTTCAAGAGTAGGATTGAAAACTGTCAGCATGTGAAGGGCAACCTTTCAAACAATTCCGTCAGATTCCACCACACCTCGCCCTGGAAGCGCTGGTGGGGTTGGAACTAAGTAGCACAAGGGCTCACACATTGCCGTGTCCCAATCTGCCAATTCTTGCAGTATGCTATGGAAGTGCCCCAGCTGAGTTGCCAGCCTCATCCTTCACTTCAAAGCGCTTCTGGCCCAGCCTCCGCTCCTCTTCGGCAGCATGCGCAAGGGCCACAATGGTTCACACCGGTTTCTGATGGCCTCGCGGTCAGCCCAAGCATGCAGTTCGTCTCGTTTCCTGCAAGGTTTGGCGAACAAGATGCATTGCGACCCATAGCACTAGGAACCTCATTCAAGCATGTTTTACTCGTAACAAGTATGACTAGATAGATCAGCAAGTCACTTCCTGTCTTGCCGAAACAACCTTGCGCTGAGAGCTAGTTCTCCAGCTCCAACGATTGCCAGCAAAGCGGCAGGATTCGAGAGGAAGGCAAGTAGTTGAATTTCGGCTTGTTGCCCGACTGGTGTTCCGGAAGACGTGGTCATCTGCCGGTCGGGGTTCCAATCGGCGAATGTCTTGCATCGGTCGAAGCTAATCTCCTCTCAGTGCGTCGCCCGTGGTGGAGGCCACTACGTATATGGGCAGTGTCCGGTTCCATCCGAAGGATAGGGGGCGTGAGTGCCCATCCCCGGTTGGCATGGTTGATCTCCTAGTCGGAGCATCGGTCGAATTGGGATCTGTACCCCTCTGTCCTCTTACAATTCGGTAGATGCATCTGTTCGACCGACCCATCGACCGAAACCTCCCGGCTGACCTTGACAAAGGCTGAAGAAGCGGCCGCCCACCCGAGCATGTCACAGAAATCAGGGTGTGCTTCTGTGGACAAGCCATTTCTTCTTTCAAGGGTTCAGGTCCAAGGTGATATTACTCTTTGAGACTCTGCCTGGCTGGACCGGCCAACCATCCAGGCTGGTTGTCAAATAGCGCCGCACGCCACAACTTGGCTCAGAAATCTGCAGTTCAACACATGAGGGTGTTCTTTCTAAGTGTCGTCTTTGGATGGGTGTTGAGGTGGACACTGCAATGGCTGTTGCAGTTGGGTTTAAGCTTACGACCAACGCCTGGGACGGCCTTGATGGAATTGAAAGTTAACAGATGAGGAGTACTGCAAGAAAAACAAATAACATACACCAACCGAAGCACCATGTGGACCGAAGCATCGTGGACACCGACTGCGCCCGGCACAAAGCTTGAAACGGGCAAGGACCGGAAAAGTGCCTGCGAAACCACCCACTACACATCTACAGTAGGCACACCACCCGCACTGCGATCCTCTCTCTCTCACACGGACTCAGTGCGATCCTGTCCATGGTAAAGTCACAGCCCGGTGACGAGCCCAATATTCGCACAAAAAAAGGCAGTCGCGTGCCTTCAGGCATTTAATCGGACTAGCTTTGGTCGAGTGTGTGGGTTGGCACATGGGCGCAGATGAATCCCTTGCTTCGGCACGCTACGCGGACAGCCTTCGTTCAACGAGGACTTCCTGGCGGTGCATCATCTCCTTTTGCTCTTGCTCCTGGCCGTTACATGCATGTAGTTCAGAGCGGGTTTCAATCAACTGCTGAGCCTGGTAAGGTAGCAGCTCTGCTTCTAAAGCGATGTAAATTGGGCCTGCCGGTCCTTCCTTGCAAGTGCCTAGCCAGAATCCACAAATATAAATACTCACGAACTTGACTGCATACCGGTATGCCTATCTCAAGCGTCCCCGTTGTCTCGAAAGTGCTTGGTGAACGGCCTATCGTCTATGCAAAATCTTCATTGCACACTGCCAAGCTGGCAGGCATCACACATCGCTCACTCGGAATTCCGAAATCGATTTCCCAAGGTCATCAAGAGTGGTGCCTCTACTTGCTAGTGACAGCTGCTAGTGGCTGCTAGTGCACTCGGCATCGGCAGACTCACTCAACACTCTGACCAAGTCTCCGCAGCAAAAATCGCTTCTAATCCATCGATTCTGGCACGTTGATAGTTGCATTACACCCGAGAATCCAAGACCCAGCAATTAGAATCCAACAGGAACTGTGGAGCTACCCTGCATTGATGCCATTTACACGGCTTACCAAGAGTGCCTCGGTCAATGTACCACACATGCAGTGCGAGCCCTCGCAGCGCCTGAATCGAAGGGAATTTTCGAGTCTTCTGCATCGCGGCGAACTGCGGCACAGGGATTGCTTCAAGAGCGAAACGAACACTGATTCCCTAAACACGCGACAAGCATATCAGTTTGCAGCGCGGGCCATGAGTCCCAAGCAAAGGCACCTTTTCATCGCGATGCTGGCGCCGCATCGCTCTGCGCGACTGCACGGCAACTTCTTTTGTGTTGCGCCGCCGACCGACGGTTCAGAATCAGCACATCTGCCGTCCTGGCTCAAGATTTTGCGTCTTTTCGCGGAGACCGCGACCTTGCCGGATTCTTTGCCCGGCCGGGATCATCTCCGTCCTGCACACTTCACTCTGCCCAAGGCATATCTTCACTGCAGGGTGCAGGCTTGCTGCCACTTGTGTTGATGCCGTCCTCTTTGCAAAGCCATGCAACTTTCATGCAGGAGCCCTTCCTGGCTTGAACAGCCAACCACAAACAAATCGGTCGGTGCTCTGGTATTAATAACGGCACTTATAACGCGATTAACAACCATAATCATGATCATACTTACAATAACATTCTGCTGTGCACAATGCACAACAAAGCGACTGAAGCTGTCAAGTTGCATGTCCCTGCCGTGCATGGCCCCCAAGGCCGCCGAGGCTTCTTCAAAGCTCGCATACTCGAGCATGCAATAGCCTAAGTACCAATCATGGAGGGAACTTGGGGTACTTCTCGCTCGACTGTTGACAAAAGCGACAACAGCGATGCTCGACAGTGTTCGAACGGCCACTGCAGTAAAGAAGCCTTTCGTTTCCCCCGTCATCCTGAAAAAGACTCTGATTCTTCCCCGGCAAATTTGAATGCGCAGTCCCTCTGCCCCCAGTCCTGTTTAAGGGTAGATGTAGGCTGACAATGGTGCCAAAAGGTCGGAAGGCTTCCTCCAAGTCATCGTCTTCCACCTGCGCCACACAAGCCAGGCTCCCTCCGAAACCCGTTCGGACGTGAAGTTTGCCAGGAGCAGTGGGAAGCGTGCCGGTACCTTCAAACCGAACATCAAGAGTGGAGAACCTGGACATGAACATCCGAAACAACGACAGTTCCTTTGAACCCTCTCCTCGAAGCTACAGAAAATCATAATCTACTCTTTTGGTCCGAACATGTTTTCTTCGGTGCACAGCTTCTGCCGCGCTAGCAGTACTCATCACGGATCGCCAAGAACCAAAGCCAACAGTCTGAAGAACCACTGTTCTGCATAACCGTCACTGCAAATTCGAATCTGAAACAGAACCGTTCCATCCCGAGCTTGCGCAGACTTGCAGACACACGTTTTTCAGAGTCCGCCTCTCCTGGAAGACCAGAGATAAACAGGCCCCAGCCCTCGCGTGATCTCGCAGGCTTCTCAGTGCCAACGGCCATCGCGGAAATTATTTGCGACTTGTGATCCCCTTGTCTGCCATGAACCTGCCGCTGATAGGGGTCAAACACACTCAGCCTCCAGGGCGCATGAGCTTTCGGCGACAGCTTGAGCCGTCGCTTTGCTCGTGGGACACCATGACTCATTGCGCTTCGAGAGATGTACGAGGCCACGACAAAGCACGGCCCCCTTGCCTGCTTTTCATCTTCATATTTGTCGATGTTCCATTGCTTCTGAGCCTGCATTCAAGTGCAGGGTAGCTTATTCATAACCCATGCGGTCCACGGCGAGACAAACAAAGCAAACAGCAACGCCCCAATCTGTCGCGACTACATGGCCATGAATGACTAAAAACAAGCCGGACGAGCTAGATGAAAGTGGTAGTTTGCCAGCCAGTGAACGTGGTCCACGATGTCCAAACCTTCTACAAGGATCACAGGCTCAGATTCAACACAAACACAGAGCACACCCTGTCAGACGATCGACTGCAAGCGGCAGAAAGACTTGCAGCACGGCAAGGCGAGTTGGTGCACCAAGGCAGCGGCGCGCAAGATCTGGCATCTCCTTGGCCGACTTACTCCGAGTATCTGCGCTTTCGTGTAGGGCTGCAGTGGCCAGCAGAAGCACCTCCGCAACATCTTGTTTGCCGAGGAGCATGGTACAAGTGCTCGAAGAAATGCTGCGTGGGCTTGTGCCTCAAGATTCAAGATGGCACTGAATCGAACAGACTTCCTGACATTCCTTCTGACATCGTGCGCAGCAGCGGCTCGCATAGCTACGCTTCAGCAGAACACTCAGTGTCGCACCGGTGTTGCTTCAGGCACTCCATGAACATCTGCCAACAACGCACATGTCCACCGAAGCAGCGCTCAGGCATTCTGCAAGGGGGCTGCTAAGTTACAGGGTCAAGATCCCGTCAACTGAAAGAGCGAGACGGCCTTATGCTCTGCATACTTCCAACCACCTGCGCAATCGTCCGACGCATGGCCGAACACCCATGTCCGCATACCTCCCTTCTGGTTGGCTGCTGCATCCAACCTGTTTGAGAGCCGCCATGTTCCACCACCTGGAACAAACAACTCACGTCATCCACATCACCAGCCGAAATAGCCCTGACTGGCCTCCGGGAACGAAACTGAGGGCAGGGTGTATTGTCCAACGCCTGGAGTGGTCCTCGGCAGCTCCAGCTCAGTCCCAGCCAACCCAGCTCTTCTAGTTCTGCCAGGCTCGGCAAATCCGGCCACCCCCATTTTCTGTGCTGGCGATGCATCAGACTTCGAGATTCTCCAAAAGTGCTGCGATGCTTCCAGAGACGGAAAAGCAGAACGTCAACGAGCTCTTGGGAAAAGATGTGGGTTGCGGTTCCAAGCCGAAGCCCGTTCTTCTTTCAATTGGATTTGTTGGCAGAAGGTTCATGTCAGGAGCCCTGCCTCAGAACAGCCACCACATCATGTGATTGGGTCAGATGACCCCGCAGCACTCAAAGCTGCGAGTAGGCGCGGATTGCGATCGCACAGCTGTGCCCTGGCAGTGATCTGTGTTCTGGATGATTCACCATTGCTGAGATATGGAGTGGCTACTTTGCAGAGCTCGTCTGCTCTCTGCCAGACTTCTTGGCCCACCCCGCTCAGAGGCTTGGGGTGGGTGCCCAGGTGCGATGCTTTGCCAGCACTTCGCACTGTCAACACCTTGCCGATACAATGAGGGTTATGTCATGTTATGTCTACATCCTGCTGTCTGTTGCTCAAAGAAGCGCTGAAGTTTCACTGTACGAGCGCAGAAACAGCAAAACACTGACCAAGTTTGGTCAGTTGCTGTGACATGTCTTGATTCACAAGGCTTCCTCTCGAAAGCGGGGCTCTCTATAGATGTAAGGAGCTTGGCTTGAAACCAACGTTTGACGCACTTAAACTGAATCGATGAAACGGTGAGCGTGGCCACAGGCGATTTCTCTCAGCGGTGCCACTTGATCCACGTCTGATCGGGCTGCGATCGTCCACGGACCCAAATGTTCATCGCATACTTCACCTGTCATGAGGAAGACAGCTTTTAAGCTGGACTTTGAGATCTCTGTAGGTTTGTTTTATGCAACGAGGCACGCAGTAAGCCTCAACAGAGACTGACAAAAAGCTTCGAGTCCCCGTCACTTGGCCGCCTGGTTGCCATTCACAGGGAGTGCTTCGTGCAGAACCTTCTTCTCCGGCGTGCCTTCACTTTAGAGTATGGCTCGAGGACACATGGCAGGACAGCATGCAGCATCATGGCAACATGGACACCTCCTCAACTTCCCGAAGGCTGACCCGCCTGTGGCATCCACGTTTGGCCATAAGATGGCGGATCCTTTTTGTGGAGAGACCTCCACTTTCAGCTCCGGAAAGGAAGTCTCTCCCCCGGCGCCTTCATCCACAGAGCGGATCCTACCGTTGCATACATGCTTATCGTGCACATGCTCGTTGCTCGGGCCTTTCGGCACCGTGTTCAGGTAAACGTGCAGTGTTGCCTCATTGCCGGTCAAGTGAAGTCATGTGAAGCTTACAGGCTCTCTCTGGACCCCTGCCCTACTTCTCCAAGATGCCATGCGTTGACCAAACGCCCATAGTCCAGGGTGCTTCTCACCAATCCAGTCCGTGTGCTTTCCTGGCAAAAGGACACGGCTTTCACTAGCTATCGCAACTAGGAGCGCATGCTTTGTGTATTCCTGGCCCAAGATTCCGAACTTCTGCCCCGGCGTGTATCGCTCCAGCTGCAGGGGCTCAATGAAATCCTCCGGGACTTGCAGCGTTCTGGCAGCCCACTCGCGCACGGCTCTGACCTGGGAGGTGCTCGGTTGCTACAATCCAGAGTGTCCAGGTTCATCCAGTTTATTTACAGTTGTCTCTGGCTGTCACATTCAGCATTGTTGTTATGTACCTATGCTGGCTAATGTTGCAGCTGGCTACAAAACCGAGCCGACGACAGGACCTGAAGGATGCTTTGTTTCTAACCTCAACTCCTCCTCCTCCTCCTCCTCCTCCTCCTCCTCCTCCTCCTCCTCCTCCTCCTCCTCCTCCTCCACCCTTTCCTCCACCGCCTCGGAGTGGGCATCCGTGCCCAAGTGCTCTTCTGGTCGTCGACATCGCTGTCGTCGTGTCGTCGTCGAACATATTTCCGGTTGCTCCATGCGAGGGACGAACCAAGAATGCGCCCTGAAGCCAAGCGTTGCCATACCGTCAAATAGCGGAAGCAGAAAACGTGCTATCATGACAGTACTTCGTTGGATCTGGTTTAACACCCCCTCCATGCCAGAACACTTGTGCAGATGGGCCCGGTCTTTGCAGTGACGAAAGATCTGGTTAGTGGTTCACTTGCGGGAGAGTCGGGTCACAAATCAGAGGTCGCTCTCTCCTGCCTCTGTTCATGCGTGCATGCCTACGCCCGTATCTCTGCATTTGCATGGATCATATCACTCCGATCATGGCTACAATGGTTACATAGTTACGAGTTCACACGATGTACACTGACTCTACACTCGTACAGACAAGAAGCTGATGGGTGCGACTCGTGCCAGGCAAGGAGGGCTGTCGAAGAAGTCCGCGAGGTGCGCAAAATCTCTTGACGAGTGGCCCTGTCGTTGCTGGCGATGAGCTGACCTTGCAAAGCTCCGAGACACTTTGGCCACAGGGCAGCTGGGAACATTTATTTTCAAGTTCTGTGGAGTCACAATACTAAGCCACGATCATCGACCCGTGGGGGCAAAGGAATGCAGTTTAGGTTCTGCCCCTCTGCAATGGCCCTCGACTACACGTACAATAAGTAGCAGGCTCGAATTCATCCAGAGCTTTTGCGCGTCCGCAAGTTGCACGAGCGCATCGCAGTGCCTGGCGGGCACGGCCTGCACAGCAAAGGCCATCCGTCACGATCAACCATGCAGAAACAAGTCGCTTGAAAAAAGACGCCCTTTCGTGTACTGTGTCAAAAAAGAGAGGAGAGAGAGAGACAGGAAAGTGCAAAGAGCAGCGGGGGCGACGGAAGGAGGACAAAGAAAAACAATCTGGAGAACTTACTTCTTGAATCGGCAGGCCTCCGGCAGGAGCAGCACTGGCAAAGGGTCAAGGATCAATGTCTTCGCATTGGACTTTGCGCTAGACATTCCTCACTGCAGCTGACATCGCAAGACGCTCCGTGCCATGCTCGCTCTCTATTGGCCAAATTTTGTTTAGGTTGGCCACCTGTAAGAGTGTTCCAGAACTTCGACGCAACGCTCGTATCCACTTTTGGAGAGGGCTTGCCGAACCTCAGCAGTACAGGAAGACATGCATACACTTCAAAGCTGAAGGCCATCATGTTGGCATCCTAACCAGCTTGCCATCTCGAGGCAGTCTGGTACACGGCTGCTGAGCACGACTGCAAGACCAAGCAAAAGCCCGCTTCTGCTCTTCGCTTGCCTTCCTCGGATGTGACCCCGGCAAAGAGGCCATGTGAAGAGAGGCGTCAGAGACATGCCGATATGCCTGTCTAGCGTCTCCTTGCAGAAGCCCATGGCCACCTGCAGGACGGCAAAGAGGTCCGGCTGTTGCCACTGAACCCATGCCTCGCAGCACTCAAAAAGAAGGCTATGCAAACATCGATAGCTCTGCAGTCTGCAGCAGTTGGAAAAGTGTTGGATATGCCGCGCACGAACTTCGCAGTAAAGATGCAGAGTCCCGAGGGCTAGTGTCTCACGCATTAACTTGTCAAGGGGCAAAGCCGAATGCAAGCTCTGCGAGTGATCGAGGATGTGTTTCGATCAGTGCGGCTTCAATGGCAGCCTCTGCCAGCATTCGCCATACAGATGCCTGAAACGCTACACACAAAGTGCAACCTACGAGCCGAAGCGCGGACAAATCGGGACAACCTTCCTCAATTTCAGCCATGTCACAGCCCGGATTTCGGAATATGCCATGGACATCCTGAGCTTAGGCTGTCAAAGCCCTCGGCTTGCCTCCAAACGTACCCTAGCTAGCAGTCGGACTAGCTGCAGACAGAACAGGTCCGTGCGGCTGGTCACCATTTAACTTCTACCAGGTGAACGGGCCAAGTGGCACTAAGAAGCCAAGCTCGGCACCGGAAAGCTCCGGGAGGATATCTTTCAAGGCTTGAAGTAGCAGCGAGCCCAGCCACTTGTCCCTGGAGTTGGGCCCAAAATGATTCAGGATGGTGACCATGCTCGTCCTTGGCATCGGAGATCGGAGGGAGCAAAACTCTTGGCATCGGTAGCGAAGTGCAGACTTGTTGCTCGTTGCGGCGCTGCGAGGCCATGGTCAGCTCCTGACGGAGGAGCCTAGGAGGCCTAGGAGGCCTTCAGAGTCTGACTCTGGCATTCTTTTGAGCTCTGGAGAGCATCCTTCTTGAGGTCAACCAGGTAGTCGTTGGCAGCAATCTCGAGACTTTCTTCCACCTGGCAAAGGCTAGGACGACTTGGACTAGGCATCACCGTGTGCCCCGATGTCTTCCCGAGTCGCCTCAACAAGGCTGGGCACGTTCTCCTCTTCGGCTTCTTTAGTGGGGGGTGTCTCCACGGGTGGCTCCTGGGTTGCTATGACGGGTCTTTGCACTTGCGTCACCTCTCGTCCGGTATCCTCAGGCAATGGGACAGTGGCTCCGGCAGCACCGCCCACAAAAGCAGACAAGACGACACAAGGTAGTGACCTTTCGGGCCGAGAGTCCGAAGATGTTGGTCGAAATCTCAAAGGAATGAAGACGCAACCAAGATGTTGTAGCAGTGCCTTAGCATCGCTCGCGGACGGAACCGAGGACTCTGGAATTAAGTGATGCACTCGAAACCCGTCTGCATGCAAGTGCGCAAGTGCAGAACAAGCTGGTCCAAATGAAACACTTAACAACTCAGCTCATCCACCAGGACTACCAGAGCTTTCGCAGCCTTTCGAAGTCGAAGCTGCAGCATTGCCGCGAAGTCAGATCGCACGCGTAGGAAGTGTCTGCGTGGGGGCCGTTGTGCTCGTACTGCGTGGTGCGAGTTGAAGTACACTACTATCTTCAAGCCGATTCTGCCATGAAGTTGCTGTGAGGCTGGCTCTAGCCTGACCCTAGTATCGCAAGAAGCCTGGTGACGGCAGCGTGCAGGCACGAAGCAAATCCCTTGCACAGAGGATACCACTGCGACATTTCGATCGGTGCTGGGCTCACTCAGAGAGATGTTACCGTGACAAAGGCCTTCACAGGAATGCTGAGGAATGCCCCTGAGGTCTGCGCTCACCCTCGGTACCATATTCAGCATCCCGCACTTGAAGGACCGGAACCTGCTCATCTCGTGAAGTCACTCATTGCAAACCAACATCTGTAGGGGCCACCTTGAACTTGCCCTTCTTGTGCGTAGGCCTGCATGTGCCGTTGGCATGCATGACCGGCCCAACCCCCCAAAAGGGCGCACAGCTTTCTGCACAGCACACGGCATAGCCTCCCAAAGGAGTAGCTAGCACTGCCGTGGACACCCGACGTCAACTGGAGAGGCTTTGCCTTGGTTACGAGAAGGCTTTGAGCTTCGAGATGGGATAGTGAAAACAAGAAAAGTAGCAGCATCAACAGCAGCAAGAGCAAACGCATCCATGTTTTCCCCTTTCGGACCCCTGTTGAAGAAACCAAGGGCTTGCAGTGTTACAAGCCTCAAAGATGTAATAAGCATGACCTCTGCGCAACAAGCATTTGTGCCGGGGTGTCTCTGCCACATTGTTGACACAGGTGATGAAAAAGCAACGATGGAAAAAATGCCTGGTACAGCCGAGAACAAGCACAACCACGAGACCGGTATCCGAGACCTAGTCGTAGATGCTAGTCGTCGTCATGGCCGTCGTCGCAGTCGCAGTCGCAGTCGTCGTCGTCTTCGTCTTCGACGTCGTAGTAGCGGTTCTACTACTACTGCTCCCACCACCACCACCACCACCACCACCACCACCACCGGGCTAGCAGTGAAACAGAGACAGCCGCTGCTACTAATCACAAAGGCAACAACGCTTCTACAAGCTGCTGCGTTTGTTTACTTCTCTATTCATCAAGTTGTCTACTTACACTTGCAGATGTGTACAGGTGCAGCTGTCTAACTCTCCAGTCTATCTGCCACCCAGTGTGAACCCGAAAATGGAAGTCTGCCGAGCACTGTTGCTCCGGCTTCTTTGGCGGCCCCCTACCCACTGTCATCTATGCCCAGTGACGACTGAAGCATGGTCTCCCTCGATTGTCCAAAGAACAGCCAGACCCAGAAGTCCGAACTCTGTGTTCCATACTGAAAGCCCTCGCAAACCTAAAAGATGCAGCATTGCAATCCGGCATCACGCACGCTGCAGTTTTTGCTGTGCAGTATCGCTTTGTCAGCTACTGCAGGTCCGTCACTCATGCTACTCCGCGCAAGCAACACCGATCACCCTCTTCTGCCTCCAATCGTTCTTCTTCAAGAGGTGAACCTTCACTTTCATGCCAAGGGACACCTTGGCTGTCCGAACTTTCCCTTCCATCATGCCGAAAGCTGAAAAGCCTTTACGGAGGAGGCTTCAGCTTGTGCGAGTGACAGAGCATCGAGACACCCGCTTTTCCAGGGTCCCGGCGGTTTCCTTGAACTCTGGCGTCATCTCGTTCTTATGCAGCAGAGCTTGCACCATTTGGCTGCCAGGGACCTGCACTTTGACCTGCATCCGCTACGGCTATAGGCGGCTCTGCAGCATCAGGTTTGCACAGCGGGCCCGTCTGGTGCTGCGTGAAACAGATGTTTGGGCAATTTCTGCAGCTGAAGAGCGAACACGCCATACAATGCAATGCGCACCACCTCCGCTTCTATGGGGTCGCTCTCGCTGAGCGCGTCGAAGGCTTCTATATCTGAGTCCTCGAATGACAACCCTGCACCAAGCATCGGCAACGGACAGCGGCAGCAGCAGCATCAGCAGAAGGAGGAGTTGCGCACGCTCGGGCAGCGTTTGCACCGGACCAAGATCGCAATACCAGGAATTAGGCATCTACGCTGCGAAGGCGAGCACAGCGAATGCAGCAATACCCCAACGATGTGATGCAAAATCTGCATCCTAGCGATGCCGCTCCTCAATCTGGGGTATTTTGAACATCGGTGGCCTCTCCAATGGTCCTGCTGCAGCAGGAAGTTGGGGGGAGATGACCAAGAATATCTGTATATGCGCATCTGCCCAAAAAGGATGCTTCAAGACGCTTGCATTCAAAGCTCGTTGTCGACTGTAGTGTGACAAAACACCGCCTCCAGACTTCATGTTCTGCAACAGCTCGCCTCTACGTCTCAATATCAAAAGCTCGGCCCTTACTCTGTTCGTGCGCCTGTGCGGCACGTCAGGAATATCCTGCCCTCGTCATCGATGTTCAAGATCCGAACTGGAATCTTAGCTGGTCGCCGTCTTATCACGATAGCCTGCTGCCCACTCTGCTTCCAGCCATGTGCGATGGAATTCGGACGATGGCATGCCTCGACATTGTACCACTGCTCCTCTCCTTCATCCTCTCTCCTCCCTCAGTCCCTCCTCCCTCCTGTAGCCTTCTTCCCCCTCCTCCTCCCTCTCCTGCTCCTCCCTCTACTATTACTACGCTTCGTTTGACCATACACTTTCCTCTAACAGCGGTGATCGAGCGTAGCATGCGGCCAAGAAGCAGGCACATTCAATAGGAAGGGCTGCTCTTCGGGGAAGCCATCGCGCCATTCGCTGGTGTGCAAAAACGCATCTTTAGGGGCGCCGATGTTAATGAAAACACCTTATCACGTCAAGGGGTCTCCTTCGACTTGCTGCAGCCCGAACGGACCCCAACTTAAGGCAAGAAGCCATTCAGCCCGTACTTGCCGCGCACGCCTTTTAGCTCCATCCCGACCTCGGGATGGGAGATTTGCCGACTTTGGGCCATGGGTGTTGTGTGTTGTTGTGCGCGTGGCCTCGAGATCCTCCACGGCGATCTTCGGAGGCAGCCTCAAAACTCACCGTGCTGATGTCCACAAGTGAAAGGCGCTGCCCGAAGCGGCACTCAAAAATGCCGACTCAGGGGCCACCTGTCCTCATCTGCCACATTCAGAGACACTGCTGGCTTCGGTCGGGGTGACGTCCGTATTCCAGTAAATGCCTTGAGTTCTATGGCAAGCTCAAGCCACTTTCACTGTGAACAGCTAGCCGCAACTAACATAGCTAAGAAGAACCAGTAAGCCATCTCGTCTTCCCTTCTCAGAGGGCGACTGCCTGCGGCCAACGCAGGAGCTGACACGAGGCCACGAAGGCCGCAAGTTGCCAAAGCCGGCATCCACATGTGCTTCTCCTTCTGCCCATTCTTAACGGGAGCTCTTCGAGCCGAAGGACTTGGAAGAGTGATGGAAACGGACGTCCGGATCATGTCGGATCATATGGACGTCAAAACAAGTTACGAGGCCGCGGCGAGTTCTGGTGCGGAGGCCGACTGCCCGAGGCGGCTCTGAAATGCCTTCACTTTTGCGGCATACTTGCGCCGCTCCAACTCCTGGGGAGAACATTTCAACACAGCCAGACTGGTTGAGCTTCTCAGGTCCTCGTGGCGGCATTGATCAGCCTGAGCTGATGGCCGCACAGGATCTTTACAGCCTGCAATGCCCTTCCGAGCCGTGCCTTCTGCTTGGACATCGTCTCGAGGAAAGTGTCGATGGGCTTCACCTTTTCCTCCCGGGTCCCCCTCTTTCACTCTCTGTCTTGTCTTTCTCTCCGACTTTGTGTCTCCGCCTCCAATGTGGCTAAGCGGGACATCCATCACAAGAAGCAAGGCGCGAATGAGTCACAACGCGCTGCAGGCCTTGGCCTTCGGAATGGTGTCTAGGAAGTCCGTCACCATGTTGCCTGCCTCCTGGTCCGAAAGACTGTGTTGGAGCAGAACGCTTCGCACAGCGCCATGTGGGAATCGTTCTTTTTTCCAACCCTCTCCGACCTACACGTTATTCAATTGGGTTTAAGTCTTGCGGAGAGGCAAAGATGCCCTCACACCTCCGACGGCAGCCCTTGCTCGGGCACAAACAATTCGTGTACCTCTGCTTGCGCCGGAAACCACTCGAGGCACGCTCAAGCAACGACAGACCAGAGTGCGGAGACAGCACATATTCTTGGCAGGATCGTTGTTTGATTGCAGGCATCAACGAATAGCAAGGACAAGTACATGTACGACGTTGCAAGAGCCCGACACGCCTGACAATGTCCAGGACAATCGACACATGCCAAACCAACCTTCCGAGCACCTTATCAAAGCATACTAGACCTAGTTTGCCGCCGGCCCCGAAGATTCGCAAAGGTCAATGTGTTTTGGTTCAGGTGGGCTTTGCGGCACTGGCACATCAGGAACTTCGGCTTGCATGATAAGACTAGAGGACTTTCCTACAAACACGGATCGCCACAGTTTCGAAATAGCAGTGGCGCAAGTTTGGGTAGCTTGTTCGTCATAGCACGCTGCAGGCTTTTCTGGCAGAACGAAACCTCACCGCTCGGCCAGGCTCAGCTTGCACGTCACCTTGACAGGTCAGTAAAGCTTAGTCTGTCTAGATGTGTGTCTGTCTCTCTCTCTGTCTGCCTGGCTGGCTGTCTGCCTGTCTGCACGCCTACTTTCGGGCTGTCTGTCTGTCTACATGCACGCATCTCAATGCATCCATGGTATCCATGCATGTATGTATCCATGTCGACATTGTGTAGCTATACGTATAGCGTTCGCATGTGCATGTGTGCTTGTATGTATGTATGTATGCATGTATGTATGCATGTATGTGTGTGTGCGCATGTACGTATGTATGCATGTATGTACATATGTACATATATACACCTGTAGTACATATGTACATATGTAGATGTACAGATATTATACGTACATACATACATACATATAAATATATACATATATACAGATACATATATACATGGGGTTGTGGAAAAATACATTTACACAGACAGAGGGGGAAAGACACAGACACACACGCAAACACACACACACACACACACACGAACATGTGCAAGCACCTCCTACTGTTCCTGCTCAATGTCACGAGCAACTACAGAACTTTGCCAAATACTTAGGAGAGGCGGAAGGCTCACAACACATCCGAGGCTCATTCATGGCTTGCATCTCTTGAAAGAGCAGTTTGCAAGCATATGGCAGACGAATGTTGGTCACCCACTCTGCGCTGCTGCAGAGCTTGCACCAGTCAGGTCGGCAAAAGAGGCCACACTTTCCTAAGCCCGGCAAGGCAATCTCATCAGCTCACCCTCGACAAAAGCAACAAACCAGAAACTCATCTTGGCCGAGGTTCTGCAAACATTTGGATTGCAAACGTCACTGGAAAGCATGAGGCGCTCCAGCAAGAGATTGGATGCACCGTAGGCCACCAGGCAATCTCTTTCCATCTCCTGACACCCGACGGTAGCATGCAGCTGCCCAGCACTAATTGGACAACTTAGCGCACAATGTGTCGTTTCGCCTTGAAGCACCAGGTGTCTCAGGTTTAACCTAGAAATGCAACGCGGGACGAACACAAACGCACGAAAACACGGGACCAACCTGCCCACACCGTTCAGTTACTCAGCAGCGTAGTCCTGCTGCGCTGTACCACGTTACTTCGTCACATGCGTTAACCATATCCGAAGATGTCGCCGTGTTTTCCCGCAGCCTGTTCAGTTCTTGCTTCCTTCACGAAAACGTCTGAACTTGTGGATCGAGAGCTAAGCATGACCGGACGACCAAGCACAGCCACTTGCATCGATGGATCCTTCCACTCGTGTGCCTCTCTAAATTCAGAAGCCTTCGGCAGACCTCTTGCAGCCTAGAGACTCCCAGCCGCAAGCCTCCTTCTTTGGCACGACCTTCTGTAGGCTGCCGGGTGAGCAACATTCGTGGCCCGCGTGCGCGGGCATGCATCTTGTCCTTGAAATTCAGGCAAGGCAGCTCGCAGAGAACTTACGACATATGCCACACTGCAGCTTATGCAGCGTACTGCTCGAGCTGTAAGACCCTGGCCACGACCATGTGCTTCAGCTTCTGGTAGTAGATTGGGCCACCTACATTCTAGTGCGAGACCAGGATGATCTATGCTCACAAGAGGCTGCTTATGTGAAGCTTATGGAGATACCGTAGAGGCCTGTGGAATCAGACATGCGAATGCACGGCCGAGGTGCAGAAGATGTAGGATTCAATCGGCTCCCCTGTAATTCCACTGGTCAGGTACTCCTTACCAGTTGGTGCGAAACCGTGGCTGATCAGGGTCCTGAAGGTAAAGTCCGATGCTTCAGCGTGGAGGACGCGAGTATGCAACACTGTATAAATGCTGGAAGATTCAAAGCGTCTGCGCTGCATGGTTGTCGTTCCATGTGCTGCATGTCGCATCGTCGGTCTGTTCTGCTTCGGCAGCACGGGAGATTCAGGCTTTTTGCATCCGGGCCTGGGAAGTCGGCCGGGGAAAGTGACAGACACAGGCTATACACGAAAACAGCGGCACATTGGATGCGATGGGCGAAACTTTTCTTGTCAACCATGCGGAGCTCGAGACAGAGATCAAGTCTGCTCGGGGAAGCTTTTAAGCGTACAAGTAACGATTCCCAACTGCTGGACGCTCAAGACTCCGGCCTAGACACGGAACGACACAGAACCAGCCGAGAGCAACGTTGGAGACCGTCCAGGCCAAGTCGCGCTGCGACTGACGGCTCAGCATTGAATACGCGCTGCGACGATGCTTTCGACACCTTCCTCTAGATGAATTCAAACGTTGCTACAGAGACTCGCCCAGGACTCAGAACAATGCAAGTGACCGTGGCGGAACTGCAACAAGACCTAGACCAAGAAGTCATGTGGACAGCCACTGCATGCTCCACCCTCGAATCCAACAAGCAGCAAGAGGGCACAGCATCAGGAAATCTAAGGCACTGCTGACAGTACAAGCCGTAGGCACGCAAGGGCTTCTGCAACATTGAAGTCTTCGCCCAACACCCGAGGCCATCGCAGCCTATCGCAGCGCTCTGAGAGCTGCCTAGATTCTTTGAAGTGCACCGACAAAACCGGGGGGGCCGAAGCACGGCCTACACGGACGACACCCAAGAGCCGGATGTCGTCCTTCAGTTGCTCCCGTCTCTTTCGCAGATCGCAGCCCTAAGGCCCGATACTCTCAATTCGAGGTATCGTCGGCGTGGCATAAGACTCAATGTTGACTGTCGGCTGTCGGTACCCACTCACTCTCTAGCACTCCCCTTCATTGCCAGCGCAACGGACCCTGCACGGCAAAGGGTCTTTCCCCCCCCCCTTGGAAAACGCTTGCAGAGCCCTGTCCCGGTCTTAGAAGACTCTACGGTCTTCAGGCCGTTCGTCTTTCGGGGAAGCCAGATCTGTTGTTCTGTTCATGTCTTGTCTCCACACCCCCCGAACCTGGAACGACATCGGTCCCTGAACCCTGACGGCGCGCTGCTGTCGGACTATCGTGTGCACGATTGCAGTGCCCAAGGAGGCAACTGTGTCCGTCGCGTGCTCACTGTTGCTCTCGCAAGGCTGGTTGGCTTCTGCACGCAAGCGTAGCACGAGCAAGACACAAGGACCCGTGCAGCATCAGCTAAATGCGCGTGGAACCTTTGACAGGTGAGCATTGAATGCTGAGTAGCTCAACGAGCGCCGATCACAGTCCGAAACTTGAGAAGCAGGAAGGCTTCAAGACAGGCATGTCCTGTAGATCTCCTGCGCAGGAGTTCCCCCAAATGCGGAACCGTTGGCAAACATGCCTTCCAGAACAGCGGCCTGCGAATCCGCACAAATGCACAATGTGCGCATCTTGACACTTCGCGAAACATGTACAACTGATCCCACGCTTTCACAGGGAAGCCTTCGACCCGATACATTCCAACATCTTCCCCACCGTCATCCGAGAAGGGAAGCCATGCCTCGGTCTACCATGTCTTCAATGCTTGTCGTGTAAGCGATTGCTCGGCAGTCATCGCTTGTCGGAATGGCTTTCAGCCTCTTGCAGCTGTGCTGCGGATTCATGATGAGATCGGGGCGCCACCCCGTTTCCGAAAATGGCAAATCTTGTTCAGGCACGATGAGACCAATGACGCCCTTCTGCCCGTGCCGCGAGGCAAATTTGTCGCCTCGGCTGCGAGGCTTCTAGTTGACTGGGCACTTGAAGATGCAGTCTGGTCTCTGCAAGCCTGGACACCCACCTCAGGCCGGCGGGTTTGACGAGTTATGATTTTGTAGACCTTCATGCCCTCAGCATCCGTCGTCAGGAGCACACGATCCTGAGCTCAGGGATGCGCGGCAGAATGCCGTGGCGGCAGCAGCCGACCGAGCGCTTCACGATGTATGAGGAGACCGGATTCTTGTAGTTCACCGGTGTGGCTTTGTACTTGATGTCCACCGTTGATAGGTCGTGCAGGGCTTTGGTCTCCACGGGGCTGATCCTGGGATGTTCTGGAGTAGTGCTTTAACAGCTTCCGAAACCATACAGCCCGCCATCCCCACACGCTTACAGTCAGCTCCTGGATCCTGTTGTGCCAATAGACGGACAGTGCCAGAACATCAGAGATCACGCGGAACAGCACAGGACAAGTAAAAAATGGAGTTTCCGAAGCATCGCGAAGAGTTCTTCCGTGCGGAGCCCTCGAGAGAATACGTAGATGACAGACATAGAATCGAGTACATAGATGACATGCATCGAGTGAAGTACATAGAGTCGAGTACATAGATGACTTACCAGGACTCTAACTCTATGCACTGTATGCTATGACTCTATGTACTTGACTCTATGCATTTGACTCTATGCACTTTACTCTATGACTCTATGACTCTATGCACTTGACTCTATGACTCTATGCTATGACTCTCTATGTACATTTTAGGCGCCGCGCGCAACCCTTCACAGGGATTGGCCTGGTCAAGCGCCCAAACACTAAGTAAAGTTACACATTTTGCGGTCGACGCGCAACCCTTTGCATGGATTGGCCTGGTCGAGCGGCCAAACACTGGGTAAAGTTACACATTTTAGGGTTCCCGCGCAACCCTTTGCGTGGATTGGCGTGGTCGAGTGCACGAACTTGCAACATCTTGCAACCCTTCACAGGGATTGGCGTGATCGAGTGCGCGAACGCGAGGTAAAGTTGCTACTTTGAAGCGCTTTTGCAACCCTTCACAGGGATTGGCATGGTCGAATGCACGAACGCTAGGTAAAGTTGCTACTTTGATGTGCAATGATATGAATTTTGCAACCCTTCACAGGGATTGGTGTGGTCGAATTCACGAACGCGAGGTAAAGTTACTACTTTTGATGTCATTGAGGTGAAATTTGCAACCCTTCACAGAGATTGGCATGGTCGAGTGTTCGAACGCGAGGTAAAGTTAAAATTTTGCTGCGCATGAAGGTGTAGTAGTAATAGTAGTAATAGTAGTAATAATAGTAGTAATAGTAGTAATAATAGTAATCGTAGTAATAGTAGTGATGGTAGTAATAGTAGTATTAGTTGTAATAGTAGCAATAGTCGTAATAGTCGTAATACGAGTAATAGTACTAATAGTAGTAGTAGCCCTGCACCCAGAAACTTTGAAACCCAGAAGCACTAAACCCAGAAACCTTTGAAACCAGCAGCCCTAAACCGCAGCGCTAAGCCCAGAACCCCTGGAAGCAAAAACCCCTAAACCCAGAAGCCCTGAAACCAGAAAAATTGAAACCCAGAAGCGCTAAACCCAGAACCCTTTGAACCAGAAGCCCTAAACCGCAGCGCTAAGCCCAGAACCCCTGGAACCAAAAACCCCTAAACCCAGAAGCCCTGAGCCCAGAAACTTTGAAACCCAGAAGTACGAAACCCAGAACCGTTTGAAACCAGAAGCCCTAAACCGCAGTGCTAGGCCCAGAACCCCTGCAACCAAACTTCTAAACCCAGAAGCCCTGAACCCAGAAACTTTGAAACCCAGAAGCACTAAACCCAGAACCCTTTGAAACCAGAAGCCCCAAACCGCAGTGCTAAACCCAGAACCCCTGGAACCAAAAACCCCTAAACCCAGAAGCCCTGAGCCCAGAAACTTTGAAACCCAGAAGCACTAAACCCGGAACCCTTTGAAACCACAAGCCCTAAACCGCAGTGCTAAACCCAGAACCCCTGGAACCAAAAACCCCTAAAACCCAGAAGCCCTGAACCCAGAAACTTTGAAACCCAGAAGCACTAAACCCAGAACCCTTTCAACCGAGAAGCCCTAAACCGCAGTGCTAGACCCAGAACCTCTAAAACCAAAAGCCCTTAAACCCAGAAGCCCTGAACCCAGAAACTTTGAAACCCAGAAGCACTAAACCCAGAACCCTTTGAAACCAGAAGCCCTAAACCGCAGTGCTAAACCCAGAACCCCTGGAACCAAAAACCCCTAGTCCCGACACAAGCTGACGGGAGTTCAAATACATCGGTCTCGGCATTACTATGTAGTTTATAATTAGACGCACTTCACTCTATGACTCTATGGTTCTATGCACTGGATTCTAGAACGTAGTGCAAAACTCTTCGCTAATGATGCTTTCGGGCCAATTGTCTTCTATAGTTTCTATTTAAAGAGTCCAGGAGTCTTGTTTGCCAGAAGGAAGCCGTCCTCCACCTTCTCAGAGGGGCGTACCATTCCATCTTCATCCAGAACAGCGAGCTTTGCGTTTCTGCCTGCACGGTGTGTGCGCCAAGGCACTGCAGCTCTTGGTTCGCGGCTCTCCCTTGCAGCCATCCGAGCCTTTCTTTTGACCAGCCTGAGGTGGCTGAGAGACCCTCGCTGAAGCTTGCAACACCAGAGGAGCGAGGTCCACAGAAAAGACGAGATAAGACCGATAAGAATTCAGCGCAAGGGCAATCCGTATTTTGCGGCTAAACCAACATTCATTCGGTGCTTCTGAGAAACACCATGTATTGCAGCTTTTCCGCTTTGGCAGTGGCTGCTGACCGCGTAAATTGGATATACGAGGATCTCGAAACAGCCGCACTCGATTGACCATGGGGAGTATGCACTCAGATCTATACAATTCTATACATATCACAGTAATTAGAACACGGCCTAACGGAACTGCCGGATCGTCGCAAACAGGTATGCAATAAGTCTCCAATCTTGGCTCATTTATGATTTCAGGCAATGACGACGCACACAAACACACAACAGGCATCCACATGTGCCAGCAAATTAGATATGCCAGGGCGTGGTGCGGACACCAATCACATCGGCCTGAACTATCAAAGTAGCAAGGATTTCACCCGGGATTGCTATGAATTTGATGAAGTTGCACATGCCTTGAACGCGTTGGCAGTCTTTAAGTATGGGTTGTCAACATGATATCGCACAGTGGTCCGAGTTTGCCATGCCAGGCTGCGCGTCTACTGTTTCCACTCGGCAATAGACTTGTGGTCGGGGTTGGGCACAGGAGCTTCGTGGCTTTGTCTACAGACTGCGCATTTGCTGGGATAGTGAGCAACGTACCCGAAAACACCGGCGTTGTCGTGGGATGATACGTTTTTCGCCTCAAGGGATGATACATATTTGAACCTGGATTGCGATAACCGTCCATACAGACTGGAGATATCTTATACAGAGAACGATGATTTCGTGTGGGGCAAATAGACTTTGGTCGAGCACCGAAGGTGAATGAAGTGTGGACTAGGACAGCAGTGCATACATGTAAGGGGATACTGCACAGCGCATACAGCAACATTACATATAGATAACACAAGTAGAAAACTAAAATATAGGTTATAGATAAACAAGAGTGTACAGCCAGCGGCTAGCAGATACAGGAGAATAGAGAATAGACTAGAGATAAGAACCGTTAGACAATAGATAGTATTGACAAGCTTGTTTCTTGGCATACTTACTGCAATTATTGCTATACCTATGTACGTACACATACCTACGCATGGCACGACACTACACAGCATAGCATTTTACAGTTTGCTATGATACAGCGCAGTATTGTATCGTATGAAAACAAGTTGTTATACAACAAAACATATTACAACATGATATAATATGATATAAGGCAATGTGGCATAACATTAGGTTGAAAGACACCAGACTACAAACTTAGGTGGCGTAACCTTATGTAACGAAATATGACAACATGCAACTCTGTTTAGCATGGTAATATGCTACAATAGGGTGTAGCATAACAGCCTAGAATAGAAACATACGTAGACATGGAGATAGAAGTTGAATGAAGTCGGTCTAGAATTAGGTTAGTGCAAAGACTAGGACAGAGTTTGAATGGATGTGGAAACACACTTACAGTAGAATTTGAGCAAACTGAGAATGAAACTAGAATAGAGGTAAAGTTAGAATATACCCTAGCGTAGCATAGTCTCAGAGTATACTGCAACAGAACATCGGAAGCTCATTGGCCCTGCCTTGCCGTGCTTGTCTATCGGCGGAGCCAGCAAGTCCGTTGTGCCGTTACCATGTGCCGCCATTTGGACCTTGGCCCGGGGCTTCATAGGGTTGAGAACTCTTATATGATAGGGCTGATAGGGTGCCAATTTTTTGTTCCCCTTTTGGGCACCCTAAATATTAGGTGCCGTATTATAATAAGGACCTAAAAAGGGACCCTAGTTTTTGACAACCACCCATAAAGAATCATAGAACCAGAACCAACTGGGGCGTCTGAGCGACGAAGGTCCAAAGATGAAGCTTGATGAAACACATCATCTGCAGTGCATGTGTTTGCTCTTTCCATCTCGCAGCCGGTGCGAATTTGTAACAGAGAGATTAAAATGAAGCATTTCGCAGCGAGTGCGAATGCTACTGTCTCTCGGCACGCCTCTGAATTAGTGATGGAAGCACAGCACGCACCTCAAGCTGCGCCAGCAAAGTCGGCGCATAAGGGCGTCATGCGGTGACATGCGGTGACCATCGCAGTCTCACTCTACAAAGGCAGAACCACATGTTTCAAACTACTCTGCTGAGCAGCACTGGACTGCACTCGGGAATGAAGGTCTTTGACAGACTCCAGGGCAGACTCCGGATCTACACCGCCATTTGCCACGGCGATGGCCTGCTCCATATTCCAGCAGAGGTGGCCACCGTGGTGGGTGAGGTGCTTGTCCACCCCGGCGGCAAAAAGTGCCTTCGTGAAGGGAGCCTTCAGGTTCGCGAGGAGCAGGTGCATCTTCCGCTTCTCCAAGGTGATGGCCAGGTTCTCGATGGCCTCGCAGCCCGTCATGTCCGTGCCGTTCACCGACTTACAATCGAGGATCAGGTAACTCACCGAGGGGTCTGCAGCAGCAGCCACGTTCATCGCACGCAAGCTGAACTCCTGCAGTCTCCGGGTGTTCGCGAAGCTCAAGCTGGCATCCATTCGTAGAACGACACACTTCGGGGTCATTGCTGCTTCCGGGTAGTATCGCAAGTCGCGAAAAGTTCCATCGTCGACCCGGCCGCAGATTGCAATGTTGGGCATGGCAATCTCGTAGGTGAGCTTCAGGATCGACAAGCAAACGCCCGTAGCTAGGCCTTCTTTGACAGTGATGCCGAGTGAAACCGCGAAGGTGAGAATCATGATCGCAAAGTCGAGCTTGTTGGCCTTGAAGGTCGCAATGAAGTTTTTGAAGTCGGTGACACCAATTGCGCCGTGGATAATGAGAGGTGCCAGAGCGGACAAGGGCAGCACCTCCACCACCGGCATGAGAAGGTACGCAGCCAGGATCACGACTACGGAGGTCAAAGCACCGGCCAACTGGGAGCTAGCGCCAAACATGGAGTTCACCGCGGTACGCGAGAAGCCGCCGGTGATAGGAAAAGCTGCCATGAAGGCGCCACCGATATTGGCAGTTCCCAGTGCTAGGAGCTCCTGATTGGCATCGTAGCTGTAGCGCTTCTCGTTGCCCATTTTGCCTCCTACAGCAATCGTCTCCAAAAACCCCACGATGGCGATCATTGCAGCGGGGACGATCAGATCGACGGTGGTCTGATCGAAGGTGGGTAGGACAAAGATGAAGCCTTCGCTCTCTGTGTCGCCGATGGGCCTCACAGATGTAACGCCCGCCGCGAGGTAAATTCGACCCCACACCCATCCAAAGATCACGCAGAGGACCGATGACAAGTCCGCGCACAACTTCAAGATCTTGAAGGGCACGTGCTCCTTTCTCTTCGGAAAGAAGCGCCAGAGCCAATGCTTGCTCCGTTTCTCTGCACTGCCGCCTTGCTTCCATGCTTTCATGAGGGTGAGGAAAGCAAGCAAAGTGAAACCGAGAGCCGCTGTGGCTCCATCCGCCTCGGGCAACTTCAGAATCAGATCAACAGCTGTCTCCCACCAGTGCTTGTGGCGTTTCATGGAAATGCCAAGCACGTGCTTCAGCTGCGAGGTCGAGATGATGACGCCGGATGCCGTGCAGAAAGAGCTCATCACGGAATGCGACATGAAGTCTACCACAAAGCCGAAGCGTAAGATGCCTAGCGCCAAGCTGATCAAGCCTACAAGCAAGGCCAGCTGAGTGGCTCCAGCCATGCGGGCTGCCTCAGCTGCATGTCCGCCTTCTCCAAGCAAACCCACCGAATCCAAAGCCTGCCCAGTCAGCAGGCTAATCAAAGCCGTCGGCCCGACTTGCAATTGGCGAAGAGTGCCCAGCATGGAATAGAGAACAAGAGGAGCGAAGGACGAATAGAGGCCAGCCCTGACGGGGAGCCCGGCAAGCAAAGCGAAGGCCAAGCACTGAGGCACCAGCATCAAACCCACCGTGAGCCCTGCAATGAAGTCACCCTTCGGGGAGTATGGCAGCTCACCCACAGCCTCCTGATCAGATGCTGTCGGGTTGCCTTTCATGGAGCGGATGTAACGAGGCACCCAAGATAAAGGAGGGAAGAGAGTGGAGACCTTGAACCTCTCACCGGAGTAGACGGTGCGCCACGCTGGGGGAAGAGCGGACTCCTGAATGGGATGCGGCGACTCATCTCCATACTCGGCGGTCTCCACATTGGCTGCCATCATTTTCGCAGAAGGAGTACTCGGAAACTTGAGGCGGACAGGGTTTTTTTGAGCCAAGATCCGAAGCAGGGTTTAGGGCGATAGGGCAGCTGATTCCTGGACTCACTTGTAAGGTGAACACAGCATCTCTGCACCTCTGCCAAGGCCAGGGCTCCTTGACGTCGCATCACGAAACACCTAGCGGTAGAGACAAATGCGGCCGTTTCAGGTTTAGAGTCGGTCCCTTCAGGGCCTGCCGAAACCGCGGTCCAATGCAGCGCGGTTCATGATGATAGCGTCCTCGATATCATAACCGCTGTAACCTGGCAGCACGATCAAAGTTCTATAGTAGCGACTACAGCGATTGTTGAAAATTACGTGAGTGTTGCAATCGGTGAAGAGACGAAGGTGGCCTGGTAAGCCCTGTCGCTCTAAAAAAGATATCCCGTGTCCAATCACCCACCACAAACTTCTGAACGTCGGTGGCTCATGCTTGCACCGGCAATCATCAGACCACGATTTGCGCACGAGCTGCTCATGACTGCAACTGACGCGTTCTGCCCAGCACCAAGGTGGTGAAAGTTCACCAAGTTCCTGGGCATGCAGAACCGAAATATCACATATCACGATCCAACACTAATGGCAGCTGCGACTTTGCTCTGGCAAGGGACAATGTCTTGCTGGTGCACAGCGGCTTCTCCGGATAGACCAAGCCCAGCAGCAGCGTGTCCTGCTATGCAGTTGCTGGACCCTCGCACAAGAGCTAAAGACTTGACAGAAGATACGAATAGAGTGAATGAGCTGAGCTTTTATCGTCCAGGCGTCACTGCGTGTAAACTGGTTCATCGCGATGCAACCCATCGCTTGCTTTCCTCAGTCTCGCTCCAAAGGTTCATGCAGGTAACAGAGACTGAGAAGGAATCGTCATAAGCTGTCCCGTGCAGCGTGGCAGTGCAAGCCGGCATGTGACAAAGACTGCATATCTTTCGTAACAAGAAAGCTGCGCGGCTCAGCTAAGGCTGGGGAGCTAGGGGTCTTTGACTGGCTACAAGTAACTTCCTTCTTCCGTGATCCTTACAAACCAGCCGGCTTAAGCTGAGTGCAGAATAGAGTCCCATTGCGCATTCGTAGGTGTTGCGCGGAGATTGGTTGTGGTTCGGGTACGGAATGAGGCCGGACACCACACCTGTACACCAAACAGCGCCAAATCTTTATGCAGATGTGCGCGCACATGGCTGTCAGCACCTGCAACGGGCGATTGGTTGGGCAAGCTGGCCTTCGGGACTTTGTTAAGTGGCACAACTCGGACATAGCCCGGCCTAGTAGAGTGAAGGGCTCTATCTCGAGGTGCGTCGTTTCGGGCGTTATCTCATCAGGGTGCAGAGCGATAAACAAATTGTTCTCCTCGTTGACATCTACCTGGGCGTGCGGAGCAGGTAATGCATGCAAACTTGAGGTCTAAACGATTGTTTGGCTCCCATGCTTCAGGAACCATGGAAATCTGTGCATTATCCACGGGGTTCTTGTGGCAAGAGTTGCATTGCATGTTATGGTCATTGTATGCTCGTGACGGTATTGGTGCACCAATGATTCTAGTGGACACGCTCATGCTGGAAATCGAACTCAGCGTATTTATGCACGCAATTGGTCGAAGAACCCACTCCAGCACGCCCTGCTTCAGGAAGTCCTCGAACTTCATGCCGCCATCTGCTTTTGACTTCAGCATCCTGAGACTGCAAAGACGGCTCTGTTGCTTTCTTTCGAGCTCTCCCCCGGTGATGATGTGTGTGCTGCAAGGGGGCAGCGGCACATGCTTTTCTGGAATGAAGCGCGGCTTGCAGTCTGCGACGATGATCAGTGGACGGCACAGACGGCCACCATCGGATGCGACGAAGATTGCATGCCAACCTGCACAGCTTCTCGTCACAGATGGAGGTGCAGCAACAAAAGCAAAGCATGCCAACCTTCATCTTCGTAGATGGACACGAACTCACCAATGAGGCCACGTCGCCGCAACTGTTGCAAGCCTTGTTGCAAACTCAGACGTTGGGAATATGGGTCTGTACCCTGGGTGTCATTGCGCGCGTATTCCCATTTGGTAATTCATGACTTTGGCCGGCAGGCTGAATCTCAGCAACGGCAAGAATCACGACGAGAAGGGTCACGAGGAATGTCGCTCAGAGTATGTTAAAATTACGATAACATATCGCAAGAAGAAGACATGAATGAACTGGAACCGAAGAAGACGCAGATCATTATTCCAACGAGGCTGCACCTTCGACCTGCTTGAGAGGAGGTGCCCTTCAGAGAAAGTGCTGGAAAACGATAACGCATTTGCAGCCACAGTCGGGCCAACTGGCGATCTCTAAGGCAAGCAGCTGGCCATAAAACGCTTGGGTCTGCGATGAATTCCGAGCAGACTGCCATTGAGGAAGACCTGGAATGATGTGTTTCAATGTACCACATCCTGAAGCATCATTCGCAAATGCGACCACGCAGCCAAGTAGTTGCCAATGTGATGCAATTCTTCACCAGACATCATAAGAGCATCCTGCGCGATTGAGGCCCTCATGGCCCTTAAGTTCCTTAAGGGTGGCGACACCGTTAGCAAAGGCAAAGCGACGCCAGGGCTCTGCTTCCTCGACCCCCAGGCAGTAGCACATCTGTCTCAGAGATCCACGCTGACCTGAGATCTGCTTTCGCATCTGCACCCCACTGCTCACAAGGGCAGTTGCGCGTTTGTCCTGAGGTCGCCTCTCTCCCCGGTTGTGACGTGCGTCAGCAGCGCAAGGTGCCTCAGAAACAGGCGAGACCGCACCGCTGAATTGCGTGGGCTTTCACATGAAGCCCGGGCACTTTACGAGACCGCATTGCTCACCTTCTGGTGTGTCTGCTGGGCAGATCATTCCCCACTGCGAAGGCTGCAAAGCTCGAGGACCAGCTACTTTGCGACTCTTCTCAAACTGGGATTTCACTCTCATCCTCAGATTGCAGGCCCGGTGTTTCTGCACACTGCCGGCAGACAGCTTCTCATTCTCTGGTCTCCAGTCTAGCCAGGGCTCATCGATCCAACGCAAGACATATATGAGAATCTAGACAGTACCTGTCCAAATTGTTGCATGGCCGTTCATCAGACACCGGCATGCTACCAGGAGCTGTTCGAGCGGCTTTCATAAAATCCGTACAGTTGGACTGTGGCGAGGCGGTCTCGAGGGAAGGACTCTGACTCTGAGCGCCCGTGGTTCGACGCCTGGGACACGCCGGCACGGTCGATGCGAAATCGCTTGATATTCCAGTTGCCCGTGGAGATCGCGTTTGCCATCGCCCGGGTGAGCTTCGAGCGGTCCTGCCACGAGTCCAGAATGTCTGGATACCTCGCAGCACTCGATGCCATGGTAATACCAGCTTTCACAGCCTTTGAGCAAAAAACCATGCTGAGGCAGGGGCGACGACATATCTTTCACGCGAGCAGCTGAGGATTGATGCCATTTGGACAGAAGTAAGTCTGCTTGCTTTTGCAGCTCCATATTCATGAACTTGAACTGGTCCTGGTCTTTCAGTTGGAATAGTTCGGCAGACGACCAACATGGCATCCGCCAACTCTCAATGCTTTCGTCGGTTAAGCAATTCGTCGTTTGAGCAATGGTCGTTTGAGCAATCCTCGAACAGCACCTCGATAAGCTGCCCAGAAAGCTCTAAGCGCTTGTTGCCATAATAGTCCCCTTGGCTCAAAAACACTTCTCCAAACACTCGCAACTGGCAATTGAGCAGAGCCTTGCTTCAGGTAGTGAGGCAAGGCGATCGGATTCAGCAGCTCTGTATGTGGAGCCGAGCTACGATCATCCACCAGTCTCCCATCATACATTGCATTGATCACCCGGCGGATCATCAGCCCAAAGTAGCCTGAAGTCTGGGTGCGGTGTGCAAGATTTCAGCTGGTTCATCGCGAAGTCTGGTTCTGGTTTCAGCCGGATCTTGCACGGATGCGACATAAAGAGGGCAAGGAGCGAATCTTTGGAGCCAAATTATTGTTCGGGCATTCAATGTGGGATAACACCTAGCAGTTTTTGCCGGGCTTCCCAAAAAAGCAGGCAAGACGCGTCCGCGTTACGTACAAACACTTTGAAGCTGCGACGCCTGTCGCTTGATGATATCCATGGGGTCTTGCTTCCTGCGCTCTTGTCCTGGCGCTTGCATCACGTGTCTGCGGATATCCCGGGGACATGCATTGAACGTTACGCTTTTCTGGCAAGCGGCCACATTAATGCAACTGGCTGATCTAAAGCATACCCGAGCATGCTATAATCTCTGCGGCCGACAGAGGCTTCCTGGCTTGATTTTGATCTTCGTCGACAGGAAGTCCAGTGCAGCCTTCTGCGAAAACACATTCTTCTCCTGAGGCCACTCACGCAAATGTGAGTTGGATGATTGTTGACGAAAACAAACAGTCTACACGTCCGAACATCGCTTCTGAGAGAAACCCATGTTTGACAGCACCACCCAGCCCGCTTCGGCAAAAACTTTAAAGACATCGCCAAGCTACGTGGCATTCCTGCAGAGATATCATCAACGTGTCCAGGTACTTGCGCTGAATCCCCACCATCTGGATGATTTCCATGTCGCTCTGAGCCCCCATAGCCTAGCACTCTGCAGTCTCTGGCACACGTCCGGAAAACATACAATGGTTGGAGAAATACATGGGAGCCTTCATCACAATTGAAATCGGGATCAAGTCAGCAAAGGCTGAGTTCTTCATGTACAGACCCTTCTTCCGCGCCAACGGATTTGCCACAACAACCTGAGACTTGGGTCAATGCAATCAAGCACTCTTAAAGGCTTTCTCTGGCTTCGGCTTCGAGAGTGAAGTCTTTGAGGCACGGGCAGTTCGGCTCTTTGTATCCTCACCTCAGAGACCCGCCTCTTGGCTCAAAGTGTGCCGACATACGGTGCGGAGGCCTAGAGCGTTTATCTGCAAGCCTCGTGGCTTGAGGAGGTGACAAAAGCTTGCAGCAGCTTCTTGGAGTCGTACTCGACAACGATGCGATTCATCAAGGACTGACACAAGGCCGAACGGATTTGGGCAAGAGCAGTCGCAGATGAGTCGCTATGGCAGGGCCAAGGGAGTGTTCTGATGTCTTGGTTCATGGTGCAGATCCGAGGCCTGCTCCTGCATCATGAGAACTCTCTCCACACCCTTGACGATGAAGTATCCTGCAGGAAGTCGGCGACAGACACAGAGTCGGAGAGAGGCAGAGGGAGCCACAGCCATCTGTCCTCCGGGATCCAAAGGGCACTCTCCCAGTGCAATGACGTCCTCAAGCTCAGATAACTCATCGATTACAGCAACCCTTACTGACTAGGCTCGGAAGCCTCATGCAACCGAGAAGCTTCATCGGTCTTGGCAAGGCTCAAAGGGCAGAGATTGCTCCGCAGCATGACAGGCAGCATCCCAATTTCCAAGTCTCGCTTACGGACCTTGCGGTCGCCCTTCCAGTAAACCACATCCACGTAGATCGGAGCTGCATACGTAAGGTCCCGGAGGCGGCACATGTGAGGGTTGGTTTCCTGGATTTAGGGTTTCGGCGCTCACACTCGGACAATCCAGGCGAGGCACATGGCTCGGAGGTCTGTTGAGTGAAACGAACACGCAGGGAGCTTTCACAACAACCAACGTAGGACTTCATCAACAAATAAACTGACCGTGCTCGTCTGAGGACGTTACTCACTCTCTAAGATCCTACTGGGTTCTTGAGGACTACAAGCTACAGATCACTATGGTTCGGGAAGAGGGTTCGAAATTTGAAGGTCCCAACACAAAGACATTAGGGTTTCGGCTAAGACATTAGGGTTTTTTTTGACACTCACTCTCGGACTAGACCTTGCCAACATTAGGGTTTAGGGTTTAAGGCTTATAGGACCCTAGCTCAGGGTTCCGGCAGCACGCACAACTTGTAGTTTCGGCATGGAGGCACCCCCGCCTGCACGATCATATCCTCCGTCTTGGAAGGTCTTCCAACACGGATGCTTTCGTACTGGAGAAACCAGTTGACGTCAGACTCACTTCTCACCATGTTGTTGCTCGCCGCTTTCACAATCTTCTTCATTGTGACATTCCTTGGTTCATGTAAACAGGGGATCTCATTCCGTAGTCTCGGATTGCCGATCGCAAATGCTATCCGCAATGTTTGCGTGTGTTCGCGCTGATGCCGCTCCGAGGAGCACGAAATGGTTGTAGGAGTCCTGGGCTTGCTTTGGTGATCAGATTCGCATTGAAGCATGTCTTGCTCACATCAAGTTCCGGAACTGTAGGACAGGTATCGATATGCTGTGTCACAAGCCCCTTGTATTCCAGAAACAGGTCCACCAGCCGCCATTTGTCCGATATGGATGCTACCTCGCCCGTGCAGCTCATCTAGCGGGTGAGTTCCGCAGCTTCGATGCTTCTTTTGGATAGACAACACACGGACGCAAGACATCAGGTAAGATGAAGTCTTGGCTCTCTTTGGCAGCTAGACGTCTGCTTTATCTGTTGAGGGCACGACAAGTCTGGCTCCTACCGTTTTGCGAGGGCTGGTGCCCTGGGGGTCAGTGGAACTCTCGGGACAACAATTGCAGGTTGCGGGGGCTATCGGGGACACCAGTCCACCAATACACAACACCCCAAAACTTGGCTCATGAGAAGTTAGTTGGGCCGGGCAGTTGACGGAACCAAGATATGAAAAGGATCCAGCACCAAGAGGGTTTGGCCTGCTGCGCCGCTTGGACTCCCGCAGCCTCTTCTCTTTGTTTTCGCTCCTGGGGCCGGTCTAACAATGCTGAGGTTCACATGGAACTTTGGGAATGCATCCCGGAGAATAGCGCCATGAGTAGCAAGATCCATGCGCCTTGTCCCATGGCCATTCTTGCCTCCACCAATTGCCTAACTGCAGGCAACAAGTCGGACAATGGCCTCAATTTCTCTGAACTCACCTGGGCTGCGAACCATGCTTCACCAAGGCTGGTGCTGGCATACTATCTCCTGCAGCAAGCACTGTTCGCTGCACGCCTCCAGCCGACTCGATTCACTTGAAGAAACAGGCGGAAAACGACGTGCAGTAAAGCCGGAGGTTTCACGTCCCAACCCGGTCAGTCCAGGCTGGAGATGTGATCTGAATGTGCCAGGGCATGGCGCAAAGGGGCTGCTGAATGCGGGCGGCCACCCTTGAGCCTTCTGCTGCTGCACGCTTCGCCTTGTGACCTTGCGCAACCCATCTACTCTACACTGAGCCTGTGCCACGTGCTTTCCGCAGAGCAACTTCAATCGAAACCGAAACTGAAGCTCAATCTCCCCACGTGCTCCGTCTGTCGCTGCAGCTGCTCCAGTTGCTCGCCTCCGGACTTTCTCGTCACCCGAGACAACACAAAGATGCCGCAAAGGTGGCGTTTACCCCGTAACCGCTGCCCTAGCAAAGCGATGCCAGCATGATGCTGAGCTGGCAGCACAGTGTGAGATTCTTCTTAGGGGAAGAGTCCTGCGGCCGGTTAATCTCGCGCATCGAAACAAACCGAAGATCCGACAGCAGAGCGGCAAAGGCAGCAAGCCGCAGTGTTCACACATCACCAGGACAGCCGACGGGATCCTGATTTTCTGGAAAGCTCTTGGCGAAGTGCTCCAACAACTCTGTTGCCGACCTTGCATTGCTTCTTCTGGCTACGGCTACAGACGTCTTCTTCGTAACGTGCGACGGAAAAATCTTGCCATCTCAGCCCGGTACGTTCCAGTTGGAAGACTGCTTCTCCTGTAATCCAGAAGCCGGTTAGAGCCCAATAGCCATAATCTGTCAACAGCAAAGTTACGCTGCGCACGTCTTCGGGGTACAGTGTGGGTAACTACGATGACTCCGGAAAGAAGCACGCTCGCCCGAGGATGCGAATGTTCGACCTCAACGGGGATTTATTCTATTACATTCGCCTGAGCAGATACGAAGATTCGGAGACGTCATTGCATAACAGTATCACCGAGCAGCAACATCTGGTTTCGATGCTTCATGTCTTCTACTGGTGCAAAAACAAATGGCCTCAATAGATCCCAGGTAACTTCAAGAATCATTCGGTTCATGGCTAAAGCGCTCTGCCAAGCTCTATATAAGCTTAGACACTCGCATCGGGAATTGAAGCTGTGCTTGTTCTTTTGGTTCGACGGTGGCTCTGAGTGGCTTCGCAAGACCAAACCGGAAACGGGCAATGTTGAGCCACCGGATTTCTTGTTTCAGAGGGTAGACAAGTTGAGATGCGTTTTCAACAGATGGTGGGGGGGGCATAGTTTGGAAGTCAGCGTTTCAAGGTCGCTGTAGAGCTCAACTTTCCAAGGTGCACATTGCTAGTTGTTACAAAATCGCTCGCCTGCCTCCCCCTCATCAACAGGATTATAACTCAAGCCCTTGACACGAGCCAGCGGTCAAACATCTGCAAGGTCCTGTGAGATTTCAAGATAGTGGAGCTACCAGGCTTGAAGAGCATCACCTCCGGCGCTCTGTGCGCTGAGGTCTCGATCTCTGCGGCTTTTGGGCTGCCCATGGCTGCGCCACTGCGCCCCCGCCGCGGGCTTCCGGCTACTGAGCTCCCATCTTCAAAGCCCAAGAAACTCAGAAAGGATAGGAATCAGCCGTTCTTTCCTAGCGATGATGCTACACGTTCTTGGAACCTTGTGACTTTCTCTTGGCAGACCAAGACCATCGAGCGCTGTTTTAAGCTAAAAGCTACGATGCTATTAACCCGCACCTTCCGCTGCCGTCTGCCAGCATTGGGCATCCGTTTCAGGTCAGCGAGCACTCCTACATGTAGCCTCTAAACCATCACACATATTCGCTGATTTCAGACCTGAGCTTCAACGATGTCGCATCTGCATACCATGGCACTCTCAAGGGCGAAACTCATGAAAGGAATCCTTGCACTCGCACGCTGCAACACATCTCAGGATCCAGCAACTTTGCGCCTGGTATCTCAGTCAGGGTCGCAGTGCCATCTTTGATGTACGCCCTGACCTGCAGCACTGCGCACTCCGCTGTGCCAAGCAACTTGTAAATTGTAAACTGGTCGTTTCCAGGCTGGGCTGGCAGACCGTGAAAGGTGTTCCTCCGCCTCGGTGGGACGAAGCATCACAGCTCGAGGAGTTGGCACATCAGCGTGCTGAGCACAACATGAATCCACAAATGAAGCCCCCGACCTTCCATGCAGGTTGCATAGACCTGGACAGGAACTCAGCGCCTCCCTGGAAGACCACGCATGGTGCTTGAAGGTGCAATACAACGTAATTGTAGGCACAGGGACTGAAGACACATCACCCCTGTGCACAGGCCTTCCAGACACCGTGTCCTCCACGAAGTTCGATCTCCCCGCTGAGCTGCGCAGGCACAGATGCTCCGACAGGTGCAGGCGCAGTCACTTTCAAGGCTTCGCAGCGCCGACCTCGCGAAGTTTTCCCTCCTGAATGAAACCACTTAGGAGCACCACGCCACCAGGATAACAGAAGGCAGCGTAGAAGGGATAAGCACATTCTCAAACTGTCTGACGAAGCTGAACAATGCTCCTTCTTGAGCTCAGCTCTGCCATCGGGACCTGCGACATTGCTTCGAATGATGCCAGAGGCTCTGCAGATAACATGCGCGGCAGGTGCACCTACAACGAGGAGCATCACACGGGGGTAGCTCGTGTCCTGTCTGCAGCTGAGCCATTGTGGTCGAAAGCTGGTGGCTAGATTCGGCTAGGATCTTGCGCCCCACATGATTCACAAGAAACTAGCAGTCCCAAGCCTGCCTTGTAGTTTAAGCCATCCTGCTTTCCTCGGCCACTCAAGAAGTCTCCGCTTAGCGCACCGCCCGTTGCGAAAGACCAAAGCCCTAAGCTGCTGCCGAACTTCGCTTGTAAAAGCGACGCTGACGGTGCGCCAACGGCTGAATCAGCATCACCTCGCTGTGCTCCCAGTTCCCAAGTCGTCAGCCTCTTGGGGACCCGAGGCTCCGACCACAGCAGTCCTCGAGAAGGCAAAACGTCAAGTCTGTGGATTTTGTGATTTAGCTCTCAGAAGATTGCAGACTCAGGCCAGCACATGGTATCCTTGCAGGAGGCTGACACGTGCCACTGCATGCCGATACACCGCTCTGGGAGCTCCTTGGCATCTGTTTTCTCCGTGCTGTCGAGGTCAAAGCGGGAAATGGGACCTGAGAATCGCGGTGGTCTCACCTCTTGCCTTTGCGGCTTCGAGAGACAACACGTTGCTAAGGTGAGCACGATCATCCAGCTTGACGTAGTTGCCGGGGAAAAAGCCTCAGCTTCAGGTGGAAAGCTGCAATCGTCAGCTTGACCTTCCTGACGAACAGGGTCTGCACCTGACTTCGCGGTCCCGTCCGTAGAACCAGTCCTTGTCAACATAAGATGCTGAGTCTTCGCTCTTCTTCTTCCCGCTAATCGTACTATTTTGGTTATTATATAGTTCTTGCCGTTGGCCGGCGAAAAGCCGAAAGCATGTTGAATCTGAGGCTGCCGCCACCATCCAGGAGCAATGCGATCTACTTGGATCTTGTCGCCTTTGACAAGAAACATTGACTTGAAGCTGTTTCTTTGTAGTAACAACACCCTGTAACTTGCATCAGGCCTCGTGACAAGCCAAGAAGAAACGTCAGGACCCGACACTTTCCAATTCAAGAGCTGACGCAAATCAACTGGCTTCATACAACCACGATGTGCGTGCGACCAAACACTGTCGGTGATTGCTATCACACGAGCTGGCCTTTCCAGAAGCCTATCTCGTCGTCCGCACGCTCCTGTTCAGCAACAGAATTTTTTGTCCGGATCATGCGCTTCGCAAGGGTCCTGGCCTTGTAAGTCCACAAAGCAGTAGCCTTCAAGTCTTCAAGGAACATTTCTTGACGAGACATCACCAGCCCCGGCTTTCGAATCTAAGGTTACCTTACGGGGCCAGGGCCCAACCCAAAAAAGACACGATCGAACTTCCGCTCGGCACTGAAGAGGCTTAAATCTGTCTGCTGGCGCGTGCCAGCGGCCTTCATCTCACCGGCCTGGAAGTATGAGTATTGTGACAACATTTTCCACCTCAACATCTTCCAGAGATGAAACAGACAGAGACAGCAGGCTGTACTGCATAGTGGGGAGGAGCGTGGAACGAATCTCAGTGTGGAACTTGCAGCCAATTGTGCGAGAGTAATGCACTCCGCCCGAAGTTGCAAGGAAGTCCTCGCCATGAATTCTATGCGGAACTTCCGTCAAGCAAGTCAAGCAAATCGGCATACATTGTGCTGTGAGTCTTGCCACCGCGGTCTTCTGAGGCCCTGCTGTTTATTTACATCCGTCATAATAAAGCATCTCATCTGGAGCAGCTCGCTACAGGTAGTAGTCCGACCAATGAAGAGTTGAATTCTGAAGCAGGCCTTTGGCCAACAACGAACCTATACACTCCTGTCGCACGGCAGTGGGCAGTTCGCACTCCCTGAAGTCGAGCACAACTTCGGCCAAGTTTGGGCCGAAGGCCGCTGTCAGGGCAGTCAGGCCCTCGGACCCTACGAGGCAACTTCGCAGGTCCAAGGTCAGCTTGGCAAGGTACTTTGGCAGCGTAGCAGCCAGGCACACAAGACAGTCACCTCAGAGACTCAGAGCACTGTAAGACAACATGCCAGAAAAAAGAGTGGTTGCCCGAGCAGGCAAGCTGCTCCTGGTAGTCACATATGCCAAGCCCAACTCCAGGTGACTGAGTCCAACTGGCAAGGAATGTGCAATCGCCTGCACACCACCTCAGATCTGACACTCTTCGGGCCCACCCTATCCCAGGCCATCCACCGGACACCAGGCACACTACAGTAGGACCAACTTCGTCCGTTTAAGGCGAGCTACAATGTGCATCAGTGCTACATTTACAACCTACGCTCCGGCATTCTGGAGCGACGGTGCCGGCACTTGTGCCAGTATCAACACTGAGAAGAAAGCTGAATTTGCCCAACAGTCAGCCTTCACTCAACGTCCCGAAATCCTGGAAACATGCACTGGATAATTTCGGAACGAAGGGCGATCCGCAATGTCAGTCGCCCCCAGTTGCAGGCTTAAGCGCGAAAGCCTGGATGGCATCCGGTGGGCCAAGAGCTCTGCCTTCGCAGTCCAAAGGCTTGCGAAGTCGCGATTTCTTGGCACTGCTGCCAAGGAGCTCCACTGTCTCCTATGCAGCAACTTCCCAGATCCAACTTCAGCCGGGAAAGACGCTGTGGTAGGTGAGCTGCCAAGGCAGCCACTCCGTCCTTGGCAGAGAAGAAGGATCTGTTGAATCTGGGCTGTGAGAAAGAAAGCACGCAGCTTCAGAACAGCATCTCACAAAGAGTCACAACCGATCACCAATCGCAGGCATGTGTCTGCAGTGATTCCACAGAGACAGAAGCTGAGCTCCAACACCGTCAGCCGTTGAGGGATGTGCTGCGCTAGCTGGATCGCATGGCTGCCTTGGGAGGACCCGCTACCCATGGGAGCTTCTTCTGTGCCTCTGCAAACAAATTCATGCAAGCGCCGCCGTTTCCAGTCGGCCCATGCAGTATCCATCTAGATTTGGGCCTAGCTGCCTAGCTGGCAGCTGCGAAGCTCTAGGCGAAGACATTGCAGCTGCCCAGCGCCCAACACAAGATCTTCAATGCCCTCCTGGAAGTGACACAGAGCCCTGGAGTGCTGATGAGTGCCGGGACGGGATAGGACTAAGATATGCCAGGCGTCCGGTAAAGGCCTGGATGGACAGCTCCTCGTAACCGCGCATGGGTATACGGCATCTGCACAGCCCAGACCTCGTCGCTCCAACCTTCAGTCGCGGATCTGACAGCCTGCAGTAAGATTCATGATTCATTGAAGCGAAGCTAATTACTGGCCAACGGAGGCTTCAGGCGTCGCAAACATACCTCCAGTTTTGCTGGCTTTGGCAAAGCCACAAAAAAAGGGGAATGCTTATCATAAAATTGCAAAATGTGGCGATTGTCCTCGTTCCAGAGCTTTGGGGTTTCAACCCGAAACAATTGATTTTAGGTGTTTTTGATACACGAATCCAGTTTGAGCCGGCAGTCCTGCTGCAGGTTGTGACAGCTGCGAAGGTCCAGGCAGAGTCTCTTGAGTGTGCTCGAAAAGCTCTTCCCAAGCAGCTTCAGCTCTGGAGTGCCCATATCCGTGTGATCCAGGTGCAGCTCCAGCTCCCGCAAGCTCCGCATTCGGCACAATCTCTCCGACAATGCAGGCACCGCCAAGCCCACATCCTCAAGGCTGCAGTCCCGAGTAGCCCTGGGCCCTGCATGGCCCTGCGCTGCCTTGTTTTGCCAAGATGCAGTCGAGCCGAGATCCAGGACAAGCCTTCGCAGCCCCAGCGGGAGGTTCTCGAACAAGGTCACGAGGTCATCAGACAGCCTGGTGGTTAAACGCCTAACGGTACTTCTGCTTGATCTCAATCATCAGAATCACCTCTTGCATGAAGGCTGGCCTGCGGCACATTCCGAAACACAGCTCCAGCTGCACCACACATGTGAGCCTTGGTTTCCGGCTCAGCACAAGCAAACCACAGGCAAATGACGCAACATGGCGACAAATCTCCCCATCTGACCGGGCCCAGTGTCTTGCAGAGCGCGGCGGCCGTCGAAGGTGTCATAGCAGAGAGACCACTGCGCCAACAGTCTAATCGCAAGACTTCAACCGCCACAGGCAAAGATAAGAGGATCGCCTCCAAGCCTGTGACAGCCGGAAAGCGACGGAGTTCAATCCTTCAAGAGCCCGCACAGATGCCAGGCCTGAGGAAGTTACGTGACTCCCGCCCACTCCCAGCTCGAAGTGGAGCAGGCTACCTGGCAGATGCCAAACCCAATCTTGGAACATGTCCTCGGCAGACACCGAGGCAAGAACACGGCCAACGAACTCGGAAACAACGTGCTCCGGTTGAACCACTGGCTTGTCAACAGGTCCAAGGTTCCTCTGCTCCAGCACATTCGAACAGCTCCAACTGAAACCTGAAGATTCGATGAAACTTCAGGCATGCTCTGTATCCGTGTCGCTGTACTTGAGGGAACAACCGGAAAAGACAAACTTCTCTTCGAGTACCAGACCCTAAGCAGATCAACAATGTGTGCCCAACAGCGAGATAGGGCCACAAACTGTGGGCCGTATTGGGCCATCATGAGTCGAGCTGCTGAGCCAAACCCGGTGGAAGGCTTTGAAGGAGGATACGCAGCCCGGCACCAGACAGCGGCCGTCCCCGGAAGTCCTCTCGGCAAATGTTGCCTTTGAATCGTGTTCGTGCGTGTGAGTGGCAGGAAAGACAATGCTCAACGTTTTGCTATTCCGGGGGACATGGCCTTACCCACCTTAACATGAAGTAAGATCGGGACGAGATGTGGTTTGCATCTTGATATGCTGTCCAGCTCCAGTCGCCGCAGAGATGCGGGCAACGATTGGCCCAACCAGTAGAACGCCTGAACAATGCGGGATCACTGGCCTTCGACCTCATAGGCCCTGGATCTGGAATCGAAAAGCCGAGAAATTGAAGGAGCGCGCATAACCGCAATACAGAGTCATGAATATCCTTTGATGTATACACATGAACATATTTTGCATTTGCTGTTCGAGTCAGGAAACACCAGCTTCCACGCAGGCATGTCCGGGCAAGGCAAGGCGCAAGTCCTCTGTCAAAAGCGGCTCGGTGCTTGCGAGTTTCTTAGAGATTTGGGGATTCCTTTTCAGAGGTCCTCGTAATACTTGATCGGACTACTGTGCGTCGGGTCCCGTGGTTTGTGGAGGATCCAGCCTTGCAACCTTTTCCACATCGGGTTTGTTCAGATCTGCCCGGCGCTTCTCCAGTTCTCTCCTCCATTTTCGGCGGCATCTTTGCTGCGAGGGCAGGGAGGAAAGTTGCGAGGTCAACCCCGCTCCACCTCATGCGCAAGTATGGCGCAGCGAAGCCAGTAAGCAAGGAATGGAAGTATCAATGTAGTGGCTACAATTGTACTTACTCCTGCTTGCAGGAAGGGACGTGATCTCGAAGGCCTGCACGGTGGCCGGGAGGTTTTGTGCCAAACACCTTATTGTTCACATGCAGCCCTCGAAATCTGCTCAGGTAGTGCCGCTCAAGAGGGATTGGCCACGTTCTGTTGAGCTTGGGTACTCGGCGCCTGCCGCTGAGCAGGAGAGCTCCAGGCGCAAGCTGCGAAGCGGCTGTCGCAGCCGGCTGACCAAGCTCCTGGTGGCTTGAGCATGATGTTGAACCCCAAAGCCGAGCAGCACACTCCCGACTTCCAACACCCCAAGAGATAACGCAGTAGACTATAAAACTGAATCTACATGCTGAGCCACATGAGCAATAGGTCGAGTTCTGCATGCTTCCCGCAGCACTATTCGGAGAGTTACGTTTGGGCTTATGTCAGCAATGTGTGTATGTGTGCAGTGCGAGATGTTGGCTGTGATGGCATTCTCACTCCCACCCTCGCCCTCATTCTGGCAACAGTGACCGCACTAGTAGTAGCCCGGTGGGGCAAGTGGCACAAGTGGGAGTGGGGCAAAAGGGAGAGTAGCGCATTTTGGGAGGGGGAGGGGGGGGTGAGCCACTTGTTCCACTCGCCCCAGCTGCCCCTGCCAGAACAAGGCTGGCTGTGCCCACGTCTCACCGAGCTGTCAATTTCGGAGCGTGGCATGGGGCAATGTCGATGTCTATTAGCTGCTTGGAAAAACTCGCAGCGAAAGTGGGGCAATTGATGCTAGTGATTCTCATAACGTTGGCAATGAGATATCGCATCGAAGCTGATGACCGGAGTTCCCTACTGACCTCTGAGTCAGGGTCGGCTCAGCGAGTGGGGTTGTACGGGGATCTGCATGCACCTCCAGGAAGACAGATTAGGATGCACGTATATGACATACTGGCAGCTCGCAGCAGCCAGCATGTCGAATGCAGCATGTCACGTGCATGGTGCTGATGTATGTCCCCTGTCTCCTGAGCCCAAGAACGGACGTGCCAGTCGCGTGCAAGTTCAAGTCCAGCTGCGTGAGCCCTTCTGGAATTCTGGAGGCTATGGCCTCAGTTTCGTCGTGATGTCATGTCAATGTGAACCTGCACAAGCAGTCCGAGCCACCTGTAGCCCCTTGTCACAGCAGTGGCAGAAGCTCAGATCCAGAAACAGCTCCTCACGGCAGCACTTCGGGCAGTAAGGAAAAGCTTTGTCCGTGCTTTCAAGCTCCTTCAGCGTCTCCGGTAGTTTGCTTGCCATCTGTTCGGCGCCACCCGGAGACAAGCCGCACCCGCCAAGGCCCAACTCGAGCTTGCGCACCTGCAGAAGCACTGTCGCACCACGGGGTTCAACGTCAAGAACTCCGACTTTTGCGCAGCATCACTGCATCAATCCGTGCCTGCTCCGGAATGTGCACATGCTGGCAGACAGCTTCATCGTCAAGTCCGTTGAAGCTCACCTCATCCAGTCGCATGTGGGCTCAGGTCAGACGACGATAGGCGGCCTGGATCTTTCAGGTACAAAGCCGGATGTTGAAGTGCAGAAGTTGCAGAAGCTACCAGGTCCGAGAAGCGTCCAAGTGAAGCGAAACCAGCTTTGCCAGCTTTGCCGTTTGCAAGGCAGCCCCCAAATATGCAAGTCCAGCCGGGCCCAAGATGCACTCGCTGACCTTGGAGTCTTATCGACTCTCCGCTGTCCTTCTATATTGCGCAGGTTTCCATACTGATGTCACCGCAGGTTGCCCTTTCAGCCAAGCATTGTCTCGTCTCGTTCAGACTCAGCTTTTGCTGGGCGTGAGACGACGCACGCTCTCGTCTTGGCTAACCGCCGAAGCTTCGGAGCGCTGGGCACTTTGCACAGCTCATTGAATTACCACAGAAGAAGGTCAGCCGGCCCACCTCAGAGGTCAGGCCCTGTTCATGAATTGAACTTCACGACCCTAGCTTCAAACATGTGCAAAACCTAAACTTTTTCTGTTTGACCACAAGGCCAACAAAGAGTTGCAATTCGTCTGTGTAGATACTAAATTCCAGGAAAGGCACGAATTTCAGGTCACATGGTACGAGCATCAAGCGTGTTTGTTGAAAACGAACAGATCTCCACTCGTGGTGCTCCGTACACTGTTCACCCCACCTCAGTCCGAAATCGGGATTCTCGGGAAACATGTGACATCGACCCTTCCACCCGAAAAAATCAAGTAAAACGCACTTTCACACAAACACACAACAGGACACCAGAGGAATCCTGCGAACCGCTCGGCATAGTGCAAGTAGCTCCAGCAGTCCCCTCCCCCCGCCCGACCTCTAGCAGAATCAATGATTCGAGTTTTCCGGCAATTGTCCGACCCCACTGCAAGACCACACTCGAGTACCTGAAGCTCCGCTCTCTTGGCAAGGCTGTCAAGCACATTTTCTGGGAGTCGGACGAGTCCTGGGCTTTGCGGTCTGTGGGACGAGCCGGGACCTCTCTCCAACAAGCCATGCTTGCGGAGCACCTTTGCTGAGGCCATGCCAAAACGAAAGCCACTTCATGTCGGCTTGGAAAAAGGGCACACGCCACCGGGAATTGAAAGAGCCTCACAATTAAACATCGTATTTTGCCTGTGGAAACCCCGCCGAACACCGTCGATGTAGTGGCATCATGCGCGACCAGCCCACCACATGCAACAGGTGGCTAGAGAACACACGATGACTTCGGCACAACCAAGTGAAACTGAAAGTGACCCTGTCTATGCAGATGTCTTTCGCGATCAGGCCGTGCTACTCCAGTCATCCTCCACGGTATCGAACTCTGAGCCTGTGGTGTGTGCATCGACGGGGTCTCCATCGCTGCATGATGCACAGCTGTGCCAAATGTTGACACAACATGCCCGCATTTTCTCTGGGTGGCCCGCATAGCTCGACTGCGTCAGAAATGTGGAAAAGCCGGATGCCTGATGTGCTCTTGAATGATACAACTGTGCTGATGGCCCTGTTGAACAGGGTGCTCCAAGACTCTTTCATTGACATGTGAGATTCGTACTTTCTTGCTGGCACTCCGGAGGCCAAGCCGCCTCAACGAGGGCACGGACAAATGTGGGTTAGGCAGCAGACCTTTGCATCTGTGCTTCAGGTTTAACAAAACCGATTCTAAGCTAATGGATGCTTAAATCACGAAGATGCCTCCGTGTTCCTCGGGCTATCATTGGGATTTGATTCCTTCAGCTCCTCTGCGACTTGTGCGGCATCCTCACAGGGAAGGGTGTCGGCATGTCTCAAGATAAACTGTTCATACCCCGGCCTTCAACTTCAGCAAGTCTTCTTCCACGGCTCTCTCTGGAAGGCCCGAACTCAGCGATGGAGCCGGCTTCACTTCCTCAAGGTGGGCCGTGGGCTCCTGTCACATATCAGGCTTAACAACGCCGAGCTCGAACAGAAGGTCCTCCTCAGGCTGTGCCGCTTCATCACTAGGCGCTGCCTTGTGTGACTTCAAGAGAACACACCGCAACCTGCACCACACAGCCGTCACGGCCGCCACGGCCTTCCTCCCTCCGATCTGCTCCGATCTTGCACTCTCCGGCTTCGGGTCCAGAATCATGTGCACTGTCGCATCCTGCTCGGACGTACGTAACGTACGCATGCCTGCATGTGTATGATTGTGTATGTATATCTGCATGTACCTGTGTGCGACAGACTCGTGCTTGCGAAGGGTCTAGGGCCTGGAGGACCCCTGGCCCGAGGGCCTACCCAGACTCTCTCTGTGTGTGTGCGTGTGTGTCTCCTTCTCGGTGTCTGTCTGTAAGTCTTTTATGTACGTATGTACGTACATATCAATGTATTTGAATTTATGTCGTATGCATGAACTGCACACATGTCCGTATGTACTGCTGCACACGCACAGACACACCCACCTTTTTGCTTGGTGCGAATAACTGCGAGCGGCGACAGGCAGGCCCGACGATGAAGAAACAGAAGAGCAGGACATGATGTGAAGATGGATTTTGGTGCGTAAGCATGCCAGGCGCCAGGAATGGCGTGCAAAAGCTGCAAAAATGATGATTCGTTGGGGCAGGGTTCTGCCCGGTGTGCCAGATACAAACATAAGGAATGGCACGCCAAATGAAGATGAGAAAAGTAGAGTACATCCCCCAGCTGCCCTCGTAAGTTTTGGTTTAAGTGCAATGATGGCAATGACCCTTTCTCCGTGCAGAATGCAGGTCTGGAGCCTGCCAAGTTTAATCTCTGTGAGGTTTCTTGAACCAAGGCCATGCGGCAACTGGAGCTGGGTGTACGCGCCGATTTGTCTCCAGTGATCGTGATGTTCACCGTGTCAAGCTAGAGACGAATCTTCTATCATGTAAACCCTCAAACCGGTAAAACTTTTGCACGTACAATATATGACAGGATGCAGCAAGGTATGATGTTCGGACTCTTGTTTAACTATGACATAGCCTACAGTGTGCACAGTACATGTGTATCTTCTCGCACTAGAAACCCGTTAAGAGTGTTGGCCTTGTGGTCTTGGAACGTTGCATGCAGGCAACCCGTCTTTGGCTCGAATTACTATCGATGGCCTCCTTTATCGCTGATGTGGTCGCGAGCTCCTGACAACTTCGGCGAGCTAGAATGAGTGGCCTGCAAGGAGTCGAGAAAGCCAGCCGTCCTTGCCCGCTACGAGCCATGCCTGCTCTCGTGGCGATTCCGGCGCTTGCGAGCAACTCGAAGGGCAACAGGGAAAGCTTCGAGCCTCTGCATCCAAGGCATCATACTCCTCTTCCATGTTCTCAGCGAACTCGGCAATCTCCGTGTCATGTACCTGGTGCCGCCCAGGCTCAGGCGTGAGTATGGAGTCTCTTCGTACCGTCTTGGTGCCAGGTGTCGGGCTGTGGGCTCTTTCATCAGAAAGGGAGGCTTCAACGATTTCGTGCCTGGTGCCCGAAGGTCCTGGCGGGAGATGACGAGTAGGATTGTGACAAAAATGACACGGCACTCCTGTTCCACCACACTGGATGACGCTTGTCTCCAACATCCCCTAACGGGCCAGCTGCAATCCCTTAGCACTCTTGTTTGTGATCGAGCAAACATGGCAATGGTTTTGTCTGATGAACTTGTGGACTGCTGCTGACTGATGCTCTGTTCAATTCAGAGCTGGCCAGCTGAGTGCTACGCCTGGAGCTATTTTCTTTTGCCTGAGTGCCGAACAACATCCTAGAAGTCTATTAGTTGTCTATTCGCTGTCCATGGTATCAGGCTCGGGCCAAGCTGACGGTGGGTTGCCCCGTGCCCAGGACGGCGTCTTCGGCAGCATCGCTTGGGAAGGCTCCTCGTACGTGCAGCAGATTCAAAGGTACGAAAAAAATGCCGGCTCTGATTCCATACAAGCTCGCGTGGCGTTTGTTTGTTCAGTCTGTTTCTGCCCCCTTCTGGCCGCTAGGCACCCCAGACTGGAGCAAAGACTTCATCATACGGGGATCCCTGATATCCCAATGCTGTTTCCAGCCCCGTCTATGTGTGTGATGCTCATGGTTACCATCTCACAGCCCTGCTTCTTTCGCACATATGCTGTTGTAGTGTTCTTTAGGCTTGACAGGATTGCAATAGATCCTTGTCGGCCGTGCCCTGTGCCGGTGTTCCCGACCCGGCCTTGCATCTTCAGCTCCTCCCTGTTGAGCCCACTGCCGCGGCATGCTTCCGATGCCCGCTGACAGAACCGAAAGGCCTGAGCATGTGTCGGGCTTGACCCTACTTGGGGCAGCCAGGTCATTGCTGGACCTCAGCACATACATTCCAAGCTTAACTTGGCTTGGGGCCGTGATTCTTGGTTCTTCGAAGACACCTGTCGAGCTACACTTCACTTCGCCTCAGTCCAAGTCCCAAGTGCGAAATCCCAGCATGGCCTGCAGTTGACCCGGCACCATGCGGCTGCAGGGGTGTCACAACCTTTCGAAAGCCGTTCGGCATAGCCCTTTCCTGCGATGGGCCTGTCAACCCCGAGCAGCTGAGCAAGCTGCAGTATCCTGCGTGAGGTTGGGTACCTGGCTCTCACAACGTGAGGCTACCAATTATGGCCATGAGGACTCGATCTATTTGCATCTCTACCCGGATTTGCTCACCTCACAATAGCCGTTCGCTTGGCAGCTTCCATTGGCGCTCCCCATGGCGGACAAGGCTGATATCTGATAATGAGCCTTGATGATCTCTATAGCTAGTGACAGTGAGGCTGCCATGTTGCAAAAGCTCCCAGTACAACTATGGGATTTTGCAGGGGTTCAGCTCAAGATTTTGTCCATCACGACCTTGAGCTCAGTGAGTGCCAGCGTGCAGCTGCAACTCCGCATACTCGGCACGTACAGTCATAGCCGCTCAGAAAAGCCAAGCGGCATCCAGGCTGAGCGTCTGCAGATTCTCCGGCATCCGTTGAGCTAGTGCTGCCGCTCCCTCTGGACCAATGCAAGCACCCGTCAAGTCCAGACCTGTCACAAGGATCCCAGCAGCGACAAGCACGGCAACTCGAAGGCCCTGCGGCCCTGCCTGTCTGAAAGATGTGTCTCCAAATATCACCCTCGTCCAGGATGCGCTTTCCTGCCCTAGACAGGAAAATCCAGCGCAGCGCGTCCGCAGGGATGAAGGACGGCAGCAGAGAAGCCTCAGCGCTTCCGAACATCGCTCTTGACGCTTCCCACTGTGACCAAAACATTGGCACGGCAGCGTCTACAGCAGGTTTCGGAAGGAAGCATGATTTAAGGTGCGGCAACGACGACCTCTTCGACAAACGTAAAACAAACGTTGCAGAGGCACTACCCTCTGACAACAGAACAAGCCCCGACACTGCAACCCTGTTATCCTGCACAGGGGTTGACCCCGGACTCGGATGAGTCTACCCCCGAAAGTACCCCATCCATCGTCGGGCAAAGCTCTGCACAGAAAGTCAGACTGCTCTCTGCTTACCCCCTCTGTACATGCCGTGCTCTTTCGCTCGCAAATGCTTGCGGCCGCGCCACGAAACTTGCTTGGAGGAAGCAGCTGTGAAGCTTGTCTTCTGGAGGCAGCCGGGTAGTCACTCGCTTTGCAGCATCCATCACAGCCATGGCACGTGGCCGGCATAACTTTGCTGAGATTCTGAGCTCCACTAAACAGAGTTTCTTGCAGTTGGAGAACAGCGCAGGGTTCTAAGCCTTGGCCGCCTATGCCCCTTAAAGGAGTTCCGGGGAGACCCGATCTCCACCCTACACACATCCTGGGAAACATGACCAAAAGCGCCAACCCATGTCCCTACCACGCAATCGCCCCATGGAAGAAAGCAGACCTGCGGGCATTCGCATCTTTTACACCCACCACCGTGGAAGCGGATAGGCTGAAGTCTCGTTGCTGCCACCTTGGCTGATGGAACCATTTCTTCATCCTACACCGGAAGGCCTACATGTTACCACGGACAGAGACGTCATGGCAAAAGTCGCACAATGACGTCAAGCAGGACTTTGTCAGCTTCATGTGTGATAGTGGGTGCAGTTGACATGCTACGCCAGCAGGAGAGATTTGCAGATATTGGATCCCGCAGGCGGTTTTGTCACGTGCCTCTATTCGAGGTGGCATCAAGCGCCGTGATGGTTCTGGTTGTTGAATCATGTTGTTGAAGCCGGTTTATGGTGCCAGCAGAACAAGTTTTCATTTGGAGATTTCCCCCCTAAACAGGTCCAAAGCCGGACAGCACAGATCAGCACAGTACAGTCTTCGCCCTCGAGTGCCAGGCTTTGTTCCCGCTCGCAGCGCGCCTTCAGCGGATGATCCTCAAGCTACTCAAGCTCCAATCGCAGCAGTCGCCATGCTCAGCACAAGCATGCACAAGCCGTACCGGAAAACCCTACCACAAGCAGATGCCCAACTATCAGCTCTTCTCACATCACGAAGACCGAACACCCAAAAAGCCGCAAAAGACATGAAGCGTCTACTCAGTCAAGGATCCGAGAGCACGACCTGTATCCAACAGTCGAAGCTGCAAAAGAGCGGAAAATGAGCTCTTTAAACAGTGCACAAGGCACAAACTTCTATCATGTTTAAAGGTGGTCGTGGCCTCGCAGCGGATGTTGGGAGCCATGGTGCTACGCCAGCACCGTCGAGTGCCACGGCCAATCGGATTCACACGCAAGTCCAGTTGGGCCAGTGCCCGGCCATTGTCGAGATTTGCGACCTGAGGGACAGTCTCTGCCTGAAGGGAGGCTGGTCTTAAATTCCATCCCGTCAACGAGACGGCGGCAAGTCTCCAAAAAGCAGCCAAATCCAGGAGACAGTCCTCTCTGCTAGACATGGCGGACTTCGAAAATACGTCTTCATGCCACCGCGCACGGACAGTGCTTGTCTCGGTGGCTTTGTGACCAGCTTTTAGACCAGTCGTCCTGGAGGCGGAGCACTCTGAGCTGGTGCGAGCCGGAGCCTGTGCACGGTTCTGCATGCTGCAGATCACATTCTTGCCGCATGCAACCCACTGCACGTTTCTCTGCAGCCGAATGACTCAGAATCTTTGCCAGCTCCTTTGCTCCAGCCACTCCAAAAGGATTCCCAGACAAATCCAGCTCTCCTCCAAGAAAACAAGAAAGCAAGATGAACCTCATCCTCAACCTTTGGCGATCGGTCCTAGCCCCAGGCTGCAATCGCCGCAGAATACATCAGCCAGCTTGCCTGCAAGCAAAACCGCAACCACGAAGCTGTAGTCATCGCCCAGCAAGCCGAGACGCTCAGCTTTCTGGAAGTAAACCTCAGCCATCTTGCCCGCACTGACTGTCAGCACAGTATCCTGGCTCCGCTTAAGCCCAAGGGGCATGTTCTGCCGCAGGGACAGAAACTCCAGCGGACCGGAATGGTCCTTTAGACCAGCTGATATCTCGGCCAGTCCGGAGTCCAGCAGACCACACCGATCCTGACAGGCACAGGCACCATCAGGCACTGTGAGATACGATACAACTGTAAAGGTTGCAGGAGCTACTGGCCAAATTTCGCTCAAGCGTCCAATTGAATGTCAATCAGCGACGTGTTCTGTGCCAGGACGTTCCGCAACATCTTGGAGCCAGCGGGCCCCAAGTGGACGCCCGTCAACTGCAACGCCTGGATCTCCTCGGACGGAAAGCCGCAAAAGGAAGGCGCTCTCATGTGTCTTTACCTTGTGAGGGCGCCTTGTGGCTGCGCAATCCTTTGCAAAGCCATTCCAAAGGCCCCGATCCGAGGTCCACGTCCTCGATGCGAAGAATTCGCAAACCAGGGCTGCGTTGTACCAGAAACTCCCACCTTGACTGCGTGGGCTGGCTGGGGGTGGATCGGGCACACTGCACTCTGGAGACTTCAAGTCTTGGGGTGCGGCGTCCACAGGGCGTGGTTGAGGAGGTATGGCGCATCTTTGGCAGCCTCGGGCGGCGTTGGCAGTCGCAACTGCGGTCTGCCGTCGACCTCCTGCGGCATGTCTTCACAATCTCGACTGGTCCTCCTGCGTTGATCCTGCACAATACACCAAAACTCTGCAGCGGATGGAAGTCCTCCAATGTGCTGTGAACTTCCCGTGCGACCGGCTGCGCCACAGCAAACTCTTTAGCTTCATCGTTGTAGGAGTCCTGAGATTCGAAGATTGCCCTTCACTTTTGATGGAGAAATGGGCTGGATAAGGTGCGGGACTACTAAAGCAATAACAAGACGCCTGTATAAGCCTCCAACCCATCTTTGGATGTTGCAACCAGTAGTTCAAAGGGCTATAATCATCAATTGCCGCAAAACGCTTTCCTGTTTGTAGGAGGTTTGTCGACCAGTCATCATGTGTTCAAAACTTGGAGTTCTGAGTCCCAGATTCTAACTAACCTGTATGTGTTCGAACGGCGTACTCGCCAAGGGGTGTGACGGATCACCGACCGGCCGTGGCATCAGGCGGTGTTCGTGGAACATTCACTTTGTCAGGGCGCGCGGGTAGCAATATTCTCTCAACATGCTGCCGTGTCTTCGCAGCACCAGTAATGCTGTATGCTTGTGACACTCGACACTGACGGTTCCCCGCTGTATCCCTCTGCGCGCAAGCATCCCTCGACCTTTGCTGGGCTTGATTGGTCTGTCCTTGAGCTCTCCACCACGTTTGGGTTTTAAAGATGGGGCCGTTGGACAGAAAGCTCACACACATGCAAGTATCTGTGTGGAGTACTGGTGTAGCAATGGGTCTCCTTAAAACAGAATTCGGAGATGTTCCGAATGGTTTTTTCGTTTTCGTATGTGGTCAGTTCAGGTAGTACTCAGGACTCAGGACTTCCCCTGCAGTGGGGGAAGATTTATCTGCGCTGGTTGCGAAAACTAAGTAGTGGCATGTACGGTCTTTGGGCAGACTGGATCTCTCCGTCCCTGGCCCTTGCCGCGTTGATTGCGTCGTGCTGCTTATGCCGACATCGATAGCACGACCACGAGTAACACACGCCACGAGCACTCTGGCAAACCAGCTGCATGCAGGAACAAGCCTTTATCTGAATCCTATTCCTGGCAGAGGCGCTGCATTCAGGTACCCGCGAAGATGCAGCGCCCGACGTTGGCCCAATTGCAAGCGCTGCTCTTGGGCATCAAGCTCCTCGTGTACCGAGTAACCCGGAAGGACCTTTGCCTGGCTTCGCTCGGACATTGCCGCACACTGTCTCATCTGTCCGTGCAGAAACTCAATGGGACGGGAGCAGGCCACATGGTCCATAATTTCATATAACTGTGCAAACTCGATGCATTTACCGCAAGTAGACGAGTCTGCTCATCCGGCACTTATAGGAAGCTCGTCCTTGTGTCGGGCGTAGAACATGTTTTCGGCAACTTTGCCTGGCAAGCTCCGCACACAAAGTAGCCTGAACCGGATTGAACCAACAGGAAAGTGTTACATGCTGTTTCATGCAAGCCACTAGCCAGCTCTTGCATCTCGTTCCGTTTTCGGGAAATGGCTCTGTCTCCGGGCTCCCGAAACAGCGCCTGTCTCAAAAGAAAATTCTGCAGCTGGAACATTGGCACTTGGGGCTGTCGGGACCTCCTCCAAATCCCGCAGGGCATTGCGCGGATCTCGCATTTGCTCAAAGGCGGCCGCCCTGCGAAACCAAGCCTCCGCAAAATTTTCTGCACCCCTTCTCGGGGATCCACCAGCACGGCTGCAAGTCGATTCACCCAGCATGCCCAGGCAAAACATAACAAGCCGGGCCGGGCCAGGCAGCCTTCGCAGAGGTGCCCTGACTGAGGCGAAGTGCCTCATTGGCCGCCCTGGTGATCATTTCATGGGGATGATGGCCCCGCCGAAACCCTCCCCACCAGCCTGAAAGCAATGACCAAGTTATCCTTTACCTCCACAAGCATCTGCTCGGCCTGGCTGCAGCCACCAGTCCCCATCATCCAGGGTTGCCATGCTCTCGAGTATCCTTTCACCGGCGTATTGCCACTAAAAGAGACCAAGAAGCCGAAGCAGGAGCAACGGGACGGTCAGGCTCCTCCACCATAGCAGAGATGCATAACCGCCAAGCACATGTCTGATTCCAGCTTTCCCCTGCGGTTCAGAATGTTTTTGCAAGCAAACTCTCTCTGCCGCTCCTCCTGGGAGTGCTTCTCCTCATTTCGAGCCACGTCCTTGCAAGCAGCTGTGGCAAACGAATGCAGCAAGCCGGCGGGTCCGTGCAATCTCCTGGCTGTAAGCAAGGAGGCTGCTGGCACACAGATTCAGCAGGATGGAAAGCTGCAAGTTGGCGGCCTTGTTGGCACAGCAAAGGCCCCTTCAAGGTCGCATTTTCGAGTGCCGCACCTGGTAATTTTCCAAACTTGCCAGCTCTGTGCTTGCGCCCACCTCGCTGCAAAGCTGCGAGATGGGCAGCAGGGGCCAACTCATCGGCTAGGGCGGCGCCTTCTTGTCGCCAGTTGGCTCCACTCTCTTGGCCTTTCGAATCTCCTCAAGGCGCTTCCTGCGCGGTGGGCGACTGCCAGTACGGTGCGAGTGCTTGGCGTTGCTTTGACTGCTTGATTGATTGATTGATTGCGTGTGGGTGCGAACACCCTTGCACTTGCAAGGCAGAGAGGCTGCTCCTTGCTGTATACACAGACAGTGCTTACACACTCGACGACTGCACACGGGCAGAGTTGCGGACAGCTCTGCACAGCACAATCTACTGGACAGCGGCCGCCTCCACTCCTCATCCAGGTTTCGCCATGGCTTCGCAGAGCTTCGGAGAAGCACCTGACAGGTCTAAACTATGTACAAAAAATCACTAACCACTACACACACACACACACACACACATATATATATATATATATATACATATACATATACAAGTACTTTAAAATTTACAGTTTAAATTCCGCGACACATGCACGGGATGCAGCCAGGGCCTTGCCTGGGCCTTGGAGTAGAAAAGGCCGGAGAGGTCTGCCTTGCCGGCCTTGAAAGCTTCGTTCCCCTGCTTCTTGAGACTCTCCACCTCCTTAAAGACATGTGCCACTGTCATTCGGCTTACTGGCTTGCTGACCCACACACGTTTTACCACCGTGCTAACTCTGCCGACGAGGCACATTCCGCGAATCCATATCGAGCCAGCTGTCGCTGGGATCAAACTTTGACATTAAGTGATCCTCGTCTTCCTCCTCTTCTTGAGTGAGGGCATACGAGTACACATCCTCAAGTTCTGTCGCATCGGCGAGATCGCGGCTCGCAGCATAGAGCGGACACAGGAGACCAGTATTCCTGGGAGGTCCCAGAAGCAACGCCTGCTTCACGCTGGAGGACTGCCAGTCCCAGCGGTACTCCTGAATCATGTGCCGCGCGGGCTCCACAAGCCCATCCTTGTTGAAGATCATGCCGGCCCCTTTATGAACGCCGAGGATGACCACCCCAGCCCCGCCTAATTGCTCCACCAAGTCTTCGAGGTCCGTTTCCTCCGTCTCGGGCGCCACGATGTGGGGGAAGATTCCCCAGCCCTTGAAGGGAATGATAGTTTGCTGTGTTCCGGAACAATACCAACTTTTCTGACCGAGGAGAGACATGGCTTCCCCGATGGCAAGCACCACGGCACCTGCAGCAGCTGCATGTGCCTAACATGCTTCCGCACTGTGCATAATGCAAGTAGGGGCTACTTGCACTGCATAATGTGGCCGAAAGGGGTGCCTTGGAGGTACCGCCACTTCACATGCTCGGCCACCTCGCTTGCCCCAAGGTCCGTGCTAAGAGTGTCCCAGAGCCGACGGCGGTCCCCTCCATCCACGAGGATTAAGTCAGACTGCTCCAGATGCGCCAACTCGAACCCTCGGAGCCCGCACTGACGGGCTCAAGTATACTCAACAACCGCCGTAGAGCAGCCGAGAAGCTGTTCGGAGGATGGTGGATGTGCCGGCACAAAACGACCCCAATTTCGCTCATTGCTTCTTTGAACAACTCAAAGGCCTCTTCGGCAGAATCTGTGGCGAAGCCTGACAGGCTGGGAAACTCGGTTTAACCAAATCTCGCAACAATGCGACCTGGCCTATGTAACTGGCCCTCACGGGCAAGTCGCCAGCAAGCCGTCCCACACGGCGTGGAAGTTCACACTTCACGCGATGGATCCACGGAAGCTTGACGTCCGGATCCTGGCAGCACAAGCATTTCGAAAACCCGTTCAAGCCCCGCAAAAGTCGACCACATGCCATATGTTAGTCTGGCGCCGCCTGATCGATTATGCAGAGCCTGGACTGACAGGTTTAGAAGTTTACAAAGCAGTTATTTTCCAACGAAACTTCCGTTAGCGCGCGTTTGGGGAACCCTAACTGCGCTGCAGAGAGAACCCTGTGCAAAACCCTCTCTTTTTTCTCCTAGCGGACATGGGGGGTCGGTTCGGGCCCGATCTTCGGGCTCTGACGAAACGATGCCACTGGCATTTCAAACCAAAACTCGACCGCTGGTCGATGGTAAGGCGAACGACTGGTTCACCCCCCCTACCAGGGAATAACCCGTACCACGGGGAGATAAAGTGAAACATGCTAGGACCTACTGGGTCACTGCAGCTACCAGTTGCTACTCTGTAGTTGCACGGCCTACGGCCTATGTACAAAATCGCACTCTGTGCTGAAGTCTCTCCGCGGGAGAGAGTATAGGAGCGCTGCTCCTGGCAGCTCTGCTGCCGAAGCGGTGTCCCGGACCCCGCATACTATACAGGGTGTGGTGGGTGGGACAAAAACTTTTTGGATCACAGATCCAACTCCAAGCCGAAAGCTGCACGGCAAAGTTTGTCTAGTGTCACTCACACACAAGTGAAAACACTGTTTTCCTTTTTCGACAAACTTTGTCTACACTTTCGGCGGAAAATAAAACCCATTCACGCACGCATGATGGATGCTTATTTTCCAACGAAACTTCCGTTAGCGCGCGTTTGGGGAACCCTAACTGCGCTGCAGAGAGAACCCTGTGCAAAACACTCTCTTTTTTCTCCTAGCGGACATGGGGGGTCGGTTCGGGCCCGATCTTCGGGCTCTGACGAAACGATGCCACTGGCATTTCAAACCAAAACTCGACCGCTGGTCGATGGTAAGGCGAACGACTGGTTCACCCCCCTTGAAGGCACTCGAAGCCTTACTCACCCCCCATCCAGTCCGCGCCGAGTGACAAAGCCAACGACACTGCGTTGGGCGGCAGGTATTGGCGCGCTGCGCCTAGCCGCTCTGTCTCTTCCCACCAGTCTCTGCTGGGGCCATCAGCTATGTTGCTGTCTGTAGGGACTCGAAAGAAAGCAGCCCTGCACTGCAGGGATTCTTCGAAGTCCACCGCTTGCGAGACTATCGCCGCTCCTTCCACCTTGCGTGTGAAGGCCTTGTGCAAGGAGGTGCGCGCTGCGTCGTTGTCTATCCAGACGAACAGGTCGCTGCCTGCTATATGCTTAGCCCACATTTGAAGGCTGAGCAAGTAGGGCAACAGCTCGCACTCGTAGACGAGCTGCTGCTTCTGTGCCCTGGCGGCCCACTGGGCTGTGACTTGGCTGCTGATCTGCAGCCCCCAGGTGAAGGCGATGCCTTCTCCAATGAGCACTGCTCCGAGGCCACACTTGGGCACGAGTCTCGGGGTCTCCCATTCGCAGGCCCCGTCGATGTACAGGTGCACTTTCCTGCGTGCATGGATGGACACTGTCCTGGGCGGTCCGTGCACGACTCTTTGCAGCAGGAACGCCATGGCTTGGCATTGCTGCTCTGTTAGGGGGACTTGCTCTGGTCCATCCCCAAGGACGTCGCCTACGCAGATCACTGCCATGCGAGTGTTACGACCCCAGGCTTGCTGCTCAGCGAAGATGAGCCTGCCGCGCAGGCTCTGCGCTTCCAAGGGGGACATGCTGCCGCGGGCGAGGGCCTCGCTGAGGACCAACCCCAGCTCTGCTGCACGGGTTGGCTTGTTGCTCACTGAGATTTCTCCGAGGTGCTGCTTGGACAAGTCCACTCGCACGCCTAGCACGTCAAAAACTTCGCTGAAGTCTGCGTTCTTTTTGGGCTCTGTGGCCACTTGCCATCCCAGCTTGTGAAAAAGGTTGGACACTGCCAACGTGACGAGCTTTGAATGCGCGCTGCGCGTAAGGACGGTGAAGTCGTCAAAGAAGCTGGTCATGACTAAAGCAAGCTTTTCGCGGCCGATGGCTTTGAGCGCCTCGCTGCAGCGGAGGAAAGCGTGCACGGCGGCCACTGCGCCGAAAGGCATGCTATGTAGGTGGGCGATTTTCACCTTCCCACTCTGTGGGTCCAGCATGACGATGCACGCGAATTTCTTGTGTGCGGCCTGCACTGCAAGCTGCTTGTAGGCACTCTTGAGGTCCCAGGTCCTGCCTACAATGCGGTGGGCCCGCTCTGCGGGAACACCTTGGCGCAGCCACTCAAGGCACACTGCAAGAAGCTCGTCGATGCTATCGACTTGGACCTTCTCTGTGGTCCCACAGCAGCTGTTGATGAAGCTGCTTTTGAAGTTATCAATGGGGCGCACTTTGCCCTTTTGAACGACGCCGAAGCGGGACGATACTATCGTCTCGTGCAGCTGCTCTGGCGAAAAGTCCTCCAAAGAAAGCCAGCCCTGCTGGCCTTCCTCTATCGTGCTTTCCCAGACCCTGTCCGAGATCCCGTCTTGCGAGGGGCGCAGAGCGCTGCGAACACCTCGCATACTGATGCTCTGGGCGTTTTCCAGTAGTGACTTCTCGTCTAGAGAAGGGGGCAGAATCTGCACTGGCCACAACCCACTGGGTTGTATCCAGCCAAGCAGGGGAAAGCCTTCTCGCACCTGCTGGGCCAACGTCTTGTCCGGGAAGTCGATTTCGGTCAGAAGCTTTGCTAAAGCTACTGTCTGCTTGGGCTTGGTGACGCTGTTCACCTGAGCGTCAATCGACGAACGTACCGAGGTCTCGAGGGCTTGGCACTCTGTGCAAGTTCGAGAGATATGCATCGATGCCAACGTGCGGCGCTTGGCCAGCAGGACAGTGTCTTCGTGGACTTCGGCAGCAATGGCGCGCTTAAGGGATAGAGGCACTGCCTCAATGTCCCTGGCTGGGTGATCGATCAGATGCGCTCTGCGCACCCAGTGTAGAGGCTGCAGCGGGATGGCGACGATGGCTTTCTGAGAGGCTTCAATCCACTGGATGAGCCTAGAGCCTTTTGGGAAGCAGGTCCACGACTGTGGAAGCTTCTGCGGGGTCTTCCAGCCTCGAAAGCACCGCGCTGCGGGGCCTTGGAGAGTGACTTTGTCACTGAAGTCTGGCTCGTAGCGCAGACGACGCAGTCGCTTGCGACTGAGAGGCGCTGCCTGGAGTGCTGCTGCGCATTGGTCTGCCGCGAGGGAGACCCAGACCGAACTCAACTGAGTGGTGTAGGCGCTTTCTAGGGAAGTGGACCACACTGTGGAACCATCCACCGAGGCTCTGCCCCATGGCAGGTGCTTGTGGCCTCCGTCGCAGTCCCTGCTTAGACCTGCGAACCAATCCAAATTGGAGAGGATTGCGGTACGCTTGCGGCGCATGCTGCCGAACATGCACGCGTCAAACTCTACTCTGTGAGCTGACCGCAAGGCCTCTCTGAGGCAGGGCATCCTCCACAGGAGGCTACGAGCTGGATTTTCTATGGACCAGCAAACGCCGCGCTGAGACAGGGAGTGGCAACACTGTGCCATGAAAGCGACTAGGCTGTTCGCGCTGCGAACTCGCGCTGCGTCGGCTCCTTTGAGGCCTTTAAGGCCCGCTGGGCGCGATTCGCTGCGCAAAGGGCCCGGAGCTCCCGGCCTGGGAATCTCTCTAGCTCTGCTAAAGGTGCCGCACGGCGGGGCCCAGTGGACCCATCTCAGGTCTTGGTGTGAGAGCACTGCTCTCAGCAAGTTGCGACCCAACTGGGTGCAAAGGTCGAGCTGAAGGACCTTGAGGCCTCTGGCCTTGGTCTTGTGATCCACGGCGACGTTCGAGAAGCCTTTCTCGATGGCTGCCTTACTAAGGCGACCGAGGCCGCAGAAAACTTCCACAAAAAGCGGCGGCCGAGGGGTCGCTTGCGAAGCTGGCTCGGGAAGAGGAACGCTCGGAGCGTTGTCTGCCAGCACGCTGTGCTGTTCGGACAAAAGGAGCACTGGGGGCGTTCGGCGTCAGGCGACGGCGCAGCGGTGGCACGTCCTGGCTTACTTGTTGCAGGCGGGTGCAGCGGCGGTGCCGAGGCGGGAGGGTCAGGGCTCTGCCCTGAGCGTGGAGCGGTGGCGGAAGAGCCCAGCGCTGCTGGGAAAGGAGCTGCAGGCCCAGTGGCTGAGGGCTGTTGCGGCTCTGCCGCGCTCGGGGCAAGGGTGCCTAGTCAGGCGGCCCCTGCGTTCTTGGGGCAATCTGCGGCTCCGTGGTCGGTGCTGCCGCAGCTCATGCACTGGTGCAACCCCCTGTCGCACTGCTTGGGGGAGCCGGAGGTCTCGAGGTCGCACCCGCACTGCAGGTTGAAGCCGTAGCAGAGGCGCTTGCCGGACTTTGAAACACTGTTCAAGTGGCGAAGCTCTTTGGGCATGCTCGGCGGCCTGGAGCGGTCTGCGCTCTCGTGGCGCTTGCCCTTGCCCTTTCCGCGGCCTTTCTTGCCGCCTTTCTTGCCTTTGCCGGTCGTGCTACGACTGCGGTCTTCTTCGCTGCGCGCCGAGCTGCGGCCCTTGCCCTTGCGACCCCTGTCCGCCACTGGCGAGGGGAGCAGGTGCAGCGTGACAATCGGATCGGACCACATGTTCTCTACTAGAGAATCTAGTGGCCTCTTACCATCCTTGTCCGGTTTGCACCCCTTGCGACACTCTCGCGCGAGCAGCGTCCACAGTTCTTTGTCGGCCCGTACTACGTGCCAGCTGTTGCCGCGTTCCATCCCCGGCGGCGCTGGCCGGTTCAGGACGGAGAAGAACTGTCTCACGAGTCTCTCGTGAATTGTGAAATCCAACACGCCGACTCTGTCGAGCGCGAGACCTCTGCGCGTTAGCGCCTGCGTGAGCTTTAGCTCATTGCCGATCTCCACGTGCACGCTGTGCTCCTTTTTCTTTACCGTGATCTCCCCAGACTCTAGGGAGAGGAAGTCCTTGTCGCGCCTCACTGAGGCGATCTCGGCATCCCGGCTGACGCACTGCGACGGTGGGATGTAACGGACGATGCCGTCCTGCAGCATGAGCGCGGCCTTGTCCACGAGGCTAT